CAGTACCCTCTGGATTCTGGATCTGTTTTCCTTATGTTGAATTCCCTGGAAAATCCCCAATCATCTGTTTTTAGTTGTAGCTTTTTCACCTGGGTGGCATGGCCCCCCTAAAGAAAGAATATAATTATGGGATAGTTGCCCCTAGAGATTTATGCTCTTTAATTTCAGATCACCTCTTGCCACTATTCTGCAGTCCTTCTAAGTCTTTAGCACTTTTCTCAAACCCCTTTCTACCACTCTTTTCTGTCTCAGCAACAATCTTGCCTCTTATTTCATAGAGAAATCTGAGGCTATGAAGCTTGAGTTTTTCCATCTTTTCCCTCCTATAACTACAAGCATCTTTACCCACACTTACCTTCTTTCCTACATGATTGAAGGAAGATAGGCTCGCTCTTCTAGTAATCCCATCAATTCTGCTCCTATAGAATGTTATTCCATTACTTATTTACTCTAATTTCTGAATTCTGAAGGTCTTTGATACTGTTTATTTCTTCCCCTCAACCTGGAGATGAGCTCAAATCATCCCATTAAAAAAAAATCAGGGCGCCTGGGTGGCTCAGTTGGTTAAGCGACTGCCTTCGGCTCAGGTCATGATCCTGGAGTCGCGGGATTGAGTCCCGCATCGGGCTCCCTGCTTGGCAGAGAGTCTGCTTCTCCCTCTGACCCTCCTCCCTCTCATGCTCTCTGTCTCTCAAATAAATAAATAAAATCTTTAAAAAAAATCAAATAAAACATAACTCCTTCAACACTGTTCTCCTCTTTACATTGGAATCTTTACTCTTTCACCAGTTGGATCTTCCCACTGGAATCAAGGTTCTCAGTACACTACTGTTTCTACTTTTTTCTGTTCAGAGGAACACCCTAATAAAGAAGGATGAGGAGAATAGAAGAATTATTAAAGGCCAGTAAGCATTTGCAAAAGTTCAACTTCATTATTAATCATATCAATACAAGTTATATGAACTACAAAAATGTTTACTAAAAAATAGAGCTTTAAGAGTATGGGGGAGATGTTTACTCTCAAATATTACCAGTGGGAATATAAATTGATGCAGTCATCCTGAAATCATCCTGAAAAATAATTTGATAATTGCTTAATCCAATAATTCCACTTTAGGGAATGTTATAAAAAAATATTCAGAGATTAATGTGAAAGAATACTCATGAAGCATTATTTGTAGTAGCAAAAGAGAGAGAGAGCGAGAAAGAGAGAGAAAGATACAGCCTAAAAGTCCAATAACGGAGGCAGGTTACCACACTGCCTTTACATAGAGAAAGTCCAAAAGTAGATGCACCAAAATGGTAATGGTAGTTGCTTCAGAGTGGTAAGATTACAGGTGATTTTATTATCTTTCTTATATATTCCTGTAAAATCCTACTTTAATTTATAAGAACATCTATTGAATTTGTAACCAGAGAAAACAAAAGGTTAAAAAAAAGTAATTACACGTATTAACCCCTCACACCCTGCTCCATCTCTGCCTCTGGCCAAAGATTTTTGTAAGAAGGTGTTAATACATCTGTAAGCTTTCAGTGTGTCCCAGTTTTCCTTAGTTTGCTTTCATGAAATGTTGGAGTACATTATGGAAAGGAGGGGGAACATGATTTTCCCATCAAGTGAACAATGGATAGGAACATGTTGACCAGTACAGAATGTTGGGGAAGGGAGAAGAGGAACTCATCAATAGAAGATGTGTGATTAAAGGAGAAGAAAGAGAACCAACTGGAAACAGAGGAACCAAGTCATCTTAAGCTAACAGGTGGTAGGTGCTCATCAATGTCGTTGGTTGTCCCATAATAATTTCAGTGAATATTAAGACTGACAACCAAAACATCATTTAGTTGAAAATAAGAATGGGTTGACTTCTCCAGAAAATGAGTAAAAGTGATTAGTGACAGTAGTATATTCCTCTTCAGTGGCTAGGAGCAGCTGTTGCTTAAATAGAAATGTCCAGGATATATGCTTATAGCTGGAGACTTTTAATTGGTGACATTACATATACAGACTAAAATTAATTGTGTGTGTCCCCTGGCTCTGTCCTTCATTCATATTCATACAAGTGATACTGTCGTATCAGACACTGAACAGAACATAATATGCAGATCATTCTCAAAGAGATGAATAGGTTGTTAAAAGTTCATTTGCAGTTTGGTTGTTTTGAATGGAGAATGCATTACCAAACATGTTTAGCCTCCAATGTACTTGAGGATGCATAACAGTTTCAGTGAAAAATTTATCCAGAATTTCAGGTTGGGATGCCAAGAGTAAAATTCCTATCCCCCTATTTTATGGTAAGTTTAAAAAAAAAAAAAAAGAGTCCCTTAGCTCTAAGCTCCTATAGGAGTTTTGAGCAGTTTTTATAGGTGATTAGCTGTAAGGTTTGCCCAAGCTAATCAGCCACACAGAGGAATGAAAAGGAATGTTTTTGAGGTTGTGGACATTGAGGAGTAAGAACCTGGGTGCTGGAAGAAGTCTCAGTGTGATTTTGGATGTTATACAGGATCATAAAAAGTTGGATTAGAGAGAAAATTTGAGCCAGGTGCTAAAAGAAAATAGGAGAGTATTCCAGGAATCTACATATGGGGGGGAGAAGAGGATAATTGGACTTCAAAAGTGGAGTTTCTTAAGCGACGAAGCTCTAAAGAGCTTGCCTGATTTTCTACCCATGGTAGTCTAGTGACCCACACCTGGGGTTATTTACACTCATTGTAAGCCCAACCCTAGCTCTGGTTATCAGGTATAATTCCATTTAGAGCAGTTTTTCCTCAATCTTAGCCACACATATGAGTTTCCTGAGGAACTTTTTTAAAAAATATAGGTGCCAGGTCCATGCTAGACCAATTAACTTGCAGTTGGGGCCCAGGCACTGGTATTGTAAAATCTTTCTAGGTGATTCTAATGTGGATCTAGAGTGGAGAGCTGCTGGGTAGAGTCAGAAGTAAATTACATGGGATAGAAACAGTGGGTGTCTATTTTTTTAAATTATTTTTTATTCAAGTATAGTTAACATAAAGTATTGTATTAGTCTCAGGTACACAATATAGTGATTCAATAATTCTGTACATTTCTCAGTGCTCATCAAGATAACTGTACTCTTAATCCCCTTCATCTTTTTCACCCATGCCTTCTCCCACCTCCCCTTGGCAACCACCTGTTTGTTTTCTATATTTAAGAGACTGTTTTTGTTTGTCTTTTTTGCTTTTGTTTCTTAAATTCCACATATGAATGAAATCATGGCATTTATCTTTCTCTGACTGACTTATTTCACTTAACATTATGCTCTCTAGGTCGATCCATGTTGTTGCAAATGGCAAGATTTCATTCTTTTTTATGGCTGAGTAGTCTTCCATTATATATATATATATATATATATGCTGTATCTTCTCCATCTGTTGATGGACATTTGGGTTGCTTCCATAATTTGGCTATTGTAAATAATGCTGCAGTAAACCTAGGGGTTTACTTTTGAAGTAAATAGCTTCAAAAAGCATATAGCTTTTCAAACTAGTGTTTTCATTTTCTTTGGGTAAATACTCAGTAGTAGAATTACTGGATCATTTGGTAATTCTATTTTCAATTTTTTGAGGAATGTCCATACTGTTTTCTAGAGTGGCTGCACCAGTTTGCGTTCCCACCAACAGGGCACAAGGGTTCCTTTTTCCCCCACATCCTCACCAACACTTGTTATTCCTTGTGTTTTAGATTTTAGCCCTTCTGACAGGTGTAAAGTGATAGCTCATTGTGGTTTTAATTTGCACTTCACTGATGATTAGTGATGTTGAGTATCTTTTCTTGTGTCTGTTAACGATCTGTATGTCTTCTTTGGGAAAATGTCTATTCAGGTCCACTGCCCAATTTTAATTGGATTATTTGGTTTTTTGCTTTTGTGTTGAATTGTGTAAATTCTTTATATATATTTTGGATATTAGCTCCTTATCAGATCTATCATTTGCAAACATCTCCTATTCAGTAAATTGCCTTTTTGTTTTGTGATGGTTTCCTTTGCTGTGCAGAAACTTTTTATTTTGGTGTAGTTCCAATAGTTTAATTTTGCTTTTGTTTCCTTTGTCAGAGGAGACATATCTAGAAAACTGTCTCTATGGCCGATGTCAAAGAAAATACTGCCTATGTTTTCTTCTAGGCATTTTATGGTTTCCTGTCTCATATTTAGTTCTTTCATCCATTTTGAGTTTATTTTTGTATATGGTGTATAAAAAGTGATCCAGTTTCATTCTTTTACACGTAGCTGTCCAGTTTTCCCAGGACCATTTGTTGAAGAGGTCTTTCCATTATGTGTTTTTGCCTTCTTTGATGAAGATTAATTGACCATAAAAGTAAATTTATTTCTGGGCTCTCTAGTCTATCCCATTGATCTATGTATCTTGTTTTTGTGCCAGTACCATACTGTTTTGATTACTGTGGCTTTATGGTATATCTTGAAATCTGGGATTGTGAAACCCCCAGCTTTGTTCTTCTTTGACAAGATTGCTTTTGGCTATTCAGGGTCTTTTGTGGTTCCATACAAATGTTAGGATTATTTGTTCTAGTTTGTGAAAAATGCTGCTGATATTTTGATAGGGAATGCATTAAATCTCTAGATTACTTTGGGTAGTGCAGACATTTTAACAATATTGGTTCTTCTTCTTCTTCTTTTTTTTTTATGTCACCTCTATACCGAGTGTGGGGCTTGAACTCACAACCCTGAGATCAAGAGTTGCATGCTTTATTGACTAAGCCAGCCAGGCACCTCAATATTGGTTCTTCCAATCCATGAACATGGAGTACCTTTCCATTTGTTTGGGTCATCTTCCCTTTTTTTCTTTTTTCTTTTTGCAGTTCAGCTTGGTTGCTTACCATTACCCTGTCTTCCAGGTCTCTGATCTATTCTTCTGCCTCCTGTAATCTGCTATTGACTTCCTCTAGTGTATTTTAAATTTTAGTTATTGAGTTCTTCATCTCTGATTGGTTCTTTTTTGTATTTTCTATCTCTTTGTTGAAGGTCTCACTGAGATCCTCCACTCTTTTCTCAAGTCCAGTAAGTATCTTTATGACCATTACTTCGAATCATTTGTCAGTTATATTACTTATTTCTATTTCATATTTAGCTCTTTTGCTGTGGTTTTATCTTGTTCTTTCTTTTGGGACATATTCCTTTGTCTCCTCACTTTGTCTAACTCTCTGTTTGTTTCTGTGTATTAGAAAAGTCAGCTACATTACTTGATCTTGAAAGCAGTGGCCTTATGAAGAAGAGTTCTGTAATGCCCTGCAGCACAATGCCCCTTATTCATTTCAGGGGTGTTGCCTATGTGAATTGTATGTGCCCTACTATTGTGGTTGAGGTGTGTTTGCCCTCAGTCCAGTTGTGTGCAGTGGCCCTCTTTGCCTTTTGTGGGTAGGATTTGGTCCCTGTGATGTTAAGTGGCCAGTTTGGTGCTGCCATGGGCTTGTAGTTGGGCGGTTGCAGCAGTCAGACCAGATGTCTGCCCTCAGCCCATTTTCCAGGGCGGTGGTTGCGCCGGACTGCAGAGTGCTCTCCCTGTCTTATCTCCTTGAGAGACTTGCATTGGTGGGTAGGGCCTACAGACAAACCAGTTATCTGTCCTCAGTCTGTCCATTGGGGCTGAAGTAGGACCAACCTGTGTGGTGCTCTCCCTGCCTTGTCCCCTGAGAGGCTTCTGTTTGTGGGCAGGGCCAGCAGTCAGAGCAGATGCCTGCTGGGGGCTTCAGATGCACTGATTGACAGGGCACTCTCTGCACTGCCAGTTATAAGGTTTGGCTGCTGGGGCTGCGAGTATACCGGTGTGTGTGGTTATTTTTCCCTCCCCCCGTGGCAGGAGTCACTTTGGAGTGGCACTTGTCCCTGCCAGAGTTGCTTGCAGGATATGACATGGTAGGAGCTGCTTTGGAGGGACTCCTCATGAGTGGGGTGGATTGGATGTGGTGGATCTGCAGAAGGATACATGCGTGGGCATGTGGTCTTAGCAAGCTAGGTGGCAAGCATTCATGCTGGTTCCCACAAGTGTCTGGTTATCCAAGTTGAGGAGTAGGAAAGAGAAATGGTGCCTGCCAGCGTTTTTGTTCTTGGAGAAGTCTCTCCAGCACACATTCCGAGATTAGTAAATAAATCCTCACGCATACCCCAGGCACTTTTCAAACTGCTGCTTCTATGCTGTATCTTGGTGGGATGGTTTATTCTGCTGGCTCTTTAAGGAAGAGGACTCATTTTCTTTCACTCTCTGGCTCTCCCAGAGCTAAGCCCTGTGATTTTTAAAGTACTTGGAGTTAAATCTCACTGGTTATAAAAACTTGTGAAGTTTTCAAAACTTCACTGAAAACCGGTTTTCAAAGCCAAATATTATAGAGACTCATCTTTCCAGTGCAGGTCCCTGTGTCTGGGGTCCCTGGTGTGGGGTCTGCTCCTCTCCGTTCTCTGTGCTTCTGGTGTCCCTCCCATTTGTGGTTAGTCTGGCCAGGAGTTTGGTTCCTGGCTGGATCTCTGCCCCTCCTACCATTTCCAGTGTGGCCTCCTCTTTATGATTAACTGTGGAAAGTCTATTCTGACTGTCTTTTGGTTGTTTTCTGTGTTAATTACACTGATATGGGTGTTATCTAGGTGTATCCATGGGATGAGGTGAGCTTAAGATCCTCCTACTCTGCCATCTTTCAGAAGTCCCACTGGGTGTCTATTTTTTCACCAGTGTACCTCTGCATCCCGCATAGTGCTTGACTTTTACTAGGAACTCAATGGATATTTGCTTAAATGAAAGAATGAATCAATGAATGAGGAATGAATGCATTTAATTAGCTCAAATTCCACACATAATTTGGCTTTAGGTCACATTTGTGGCTAGTCTCTTTCTGACTGTCTCAATTCAGACAACTGATTTTCTGTCTGATTCCTAAGAGATCTTTTTTGGTACCTTAATTCATGTCTTCTCCCTTGGTCCCTGTTTCTCAGTCCTTGTTATCAGGAACCTGTCAAGAACTGTCATGTTCTCTAGTCAGACTCACTGTCTAAGACTTGGAATGTTGTCTCTGAATTTCAAACAGCTGAGATCCTGTAAGTTTGGCCAAGACTTTTAATTCTTCAATACCACTTTCTCCAGATTCTCCCTCAGTGTGCTCATGTCCTGCTCTTACAAACTCCCTCTTGCTCTGGAACAAATTATAGTTTTTAAATGTACAGAAACACCTAGATAACCCCCACATCAGTGTAATTAACACAGAAAACAACCCAAAGACTGGCAGGATAGACTTTTCCACAGTTAATCATAGAGAGGAGGCCAGATTGGAAATGGTAGGAGGGGTGGAGATCCAACCAGGAACCAAACACAGTAAGTCTCATCAGTTGTATTATTCATCATTTTCTTTTCCCTATTTTTTGTTTACCTTTACTTTTTGTTTTGAAAAATGTGCATTAACAGTGCCCACAATATTTGAGGATTACAAAGTTTCTTTGTATTTCTAATACTTTTGTTTTTATATAGTTCACTGCTTTATAGTACATAAAAGTTCATGAGTTCTATTTTTGAGAATCATTACTTTTTATTAAAAATACTTTTTATCCTAGTTGATGTTTTTAGAATTGAAATTTTTTTGGTCAGATGGTAACAGTATCATCCCTGCTTTCCTTGTGTTGTGTTTACCTTGTATATCTTTGCTATTTCTTCATATTTAACCGTCTTTTGTCATATTAACTTATGTGTGCCTCTTATAACTGAATTTTGGGTTTTTTAAAAACTTACATGAGAATATTCTTAAATTGAAGAATTTAAGCCTTTCCTTTTTTTTTTTTTAATTAGGGACACACCTTTTAAAGTACTTACCATCTTATATTACTGTTTCTGTTTGCTATTTTTGCCTTGTATGTATGTATGTATATACTTGCTCATAAAGAAAAAGCGTTCATACATACATAAATACAAATACATATAGATTTTATAAAATATGGAAATCACAAAGAAAGTAAAAATCTCTAGTAATTCTATTACTCAGTCTTATTGTTGACATGTGTATAGTTATGTATACTCCCAATGTCTTCCTTTAATTTTTTTAAGTAAAAATGAGTTTATCATGATAATGCTGCTTTGAAACCCATTTTTTTCCCACTGAACAGAAAAGTATTATGAACACTTTGCATGCCACTAAATATTTATCTGTAATATATTTTTGTTTTCAAATACATTTTAATATAAAGTATTTATAAGTAAATAAAATAAATTATTCCATCCTTTGATTAAATAGGATTATGTAGGCTTGTGCAAAGGTTTTTAATTTACAGAAGCATATATGGAATATGATGCCATTTATGTAAAATATATGAATACATGCATATATGTGAATTGAATGCTCATATATGTTTGAATATGTATGTTTATGTATTAAATACCTCTGTATGATTAAAAGTTTAAGATTAAGAATGTATTATTTAAGTAAAAAATAAAATTAGCATATTTAAAAATATTCAAGCAAATGTCAACAAATTACCTAACTTAAGTGAAATGGACAAATTCCTAGAAAGACACAAAGAACTGACAATGACTCAAGAAGAAATATTAAATCTGAATAAACAAGTAAAAAGATTAAGTTAGCACTCAGAAAACTACCCACAAAGGTAAGTCCGGGCCAGAATGGCCTCACTGGTAAATTCTATGAAATATTTAAAGAAGAATTAATAACAATTCTTCACAAACTCTTCCAGAAAATAGAAAAGGGGGGATACTTCCCATCCCATTCTACAAGGCCAGTATTACTCTGATAGCAAAACTAGTCAAATATCACAAGAAAAGAAAACTACAGACCAATATCTCTTATGAATACATGCACAAAAATTTCCACAAAATACTAGCAAACCAAATACAGCAGTATATAAAACATTACCAAGTGGGATTTAGCTTAGGAATGCAAAGTTAGTTTCACATTTAAAAAGCAATTAACATAGGGGTGCCTGGATGGCTCAGTCGGTTAAGCATTTGACTCTTGATTTCAGCTCAGGTCATGATCTCAGGATCCTGAGATTGAGCCCCCTATCGGGCTCTGTACTGAGCATGGAGCCTGCTTAGGATTCTTTCTCTCTCTCTCCCATCTCTCATAAAATAAAATAAAATAATAAAATAAAATAAAATAAAATAAGATAAAATATCTTTTTTAAAAAAGCAGTGAATTAAAATACTACATCAGTAGAATAAAGGACAAAAACAACATGTTTATCTCAATAGACACAGAAAGAGCATTTGACAAAAATCCAACAATTTTTCATGATGAAACACTCAACAAACTAGGAATAGAGGGAAACTTCCTCAACCTGATAAGTGGCATCTATGAAAAAAACCAAAGCTAACAACATACTTAATGGTGAAAAGGTTGAATGCTTTCCTAAAAGATAAGGATGTTCACTCTCAACTCTTGTGTTCCACACTGTACTGGAGGTTTTAGCCAGGGTAATTAGACAAAACGAAAGAAGGAGCAAAGGAGGGAGGGAGGGAGGGAAGAAAGGAAGGAGGGAGGAAAGGAAGGAAAGAAGGAGAGAAGGAGGGAAGTAGGCAGGTATCTAGATTGGAAAGGAATAAGTAAAACTATCTCTGTTTGCAAATGGTATTCTCTTGTATATAGAAAAATCCTAAGGAATACAGTAAAAATTAGAACAAATAAAAAATTCATTAAGGTTGCAGTGTTCAGGATCAATATACAAAATCAGTTGTATTTCTGAAAGAGATTATAGAGTATACGTCTCATTTCTTCCTTAAATATTTGTAATAATATACCAGTGAACACAGCCAGGCCTAGTACTTTCTGTTTTGGAAGGTTATTAATTATTGATTCAACATTTTAAATAGATATGGGCCTATTCAGATGATCTTTTTCTCTTGTGTGAATTTTGGTAGATTGTGTCTTTCAAGGAATCCATCTGTTTCATCTAGGTTATCAAATTTGTGGGCATAGAATTGTTCATAATACTCCTTTATTATCCTACTAATGTCCATGAAATCAGTAGTGATGGCTTCTCTTTCATTTCCAATATTAGTAACTTGTTATTCTCTCTATTTTTCTTAGTTAACCTGACTTAGAGGTATATAAATTGTATTGCTCTTTTCAAAGAACCAGCTGTTGGTTTTATTGATTTTCTCTATTGAGTTCCTGTCATCAATTTCATTGGTTTCTGTTCTAATGTTTATTATTTCTCTTTTTTTGCTTACACTGGATTTAATTTTCTCTTCCTTCTCTAATCTAATCTTGATTCTCCAAAGCGGAAGCTTAGATTATTGATTTTAGTTCTTTCTTCGTTTCTGTATATATTCAGTGCTACAAATTTCCCTCTAAGTACTGCTTTTGCTGCATCTCACAAATTTTGATAAGTTGTAGTTTCACTCATTTAATTAAAAATATTTTAAAATTTCTCTTGACACTTATTTGACCTGTGTGTTAATTAATAATATGTTGTTTAATCTCCAAATACTTTGTGTTTTCCAGCTCTCTTTCTGGTAGTGGTTTCTAATTTAGTTCCATTGTGGTCTAAATGTGCACTTTGGCTTTTTTTTTTTTTTTTTTTTTAATTCGTTAAAGTGTCTTCTCTGGCCCAGATCTTGATGAATGTTCCATGTGAGCTTGAGAACATATACAATGCTGTTGTTGGACAAAGTATTCTATAATTGTCAACTTGATCCAGCTGATTGATGGTGCTATTTAGTTTAATTATGTCCTTACTGATTTTCTGCCTGCTGAACTTATCAATTAGTGATGGAGGGGTATTGAATTTTCCAGCCATAATAGTGGATTTGTCTATGTCTCCTTGAAGTTCTATCAGTTTTGCCTCATGTATTTTGCCTTTATGTTGTTAGGAGCATAACCATTAAGGATTGCTATGGTCCTTTTGGAGAATTAACCCCTTTATCATTATATAATGCCCTCTTTGTTTACTCTGAAGTCTGCCTTGTCTGAAATGAGTATAGCTATTCCAGCTTTCTTTTGATTAGTGTTATTATGGTATATCTTTCTTTGTTGCTTTACTTTTAAGCATCTGTGTCTTTATATTTAAAGTGGATTTCTCAGAAAAACAGTAGAAAAAAATCAACAAAACTAAGAGCTGGTGTTTTGAAAATATAAACAAAATTGATAAATGTTTAGCTAGACAAATTAAGAAAAGAGAAAAGACTCAAATAAATAAAATCAAAAATTAAAAAGGAGACATTATAATTGACATAGAAATACAAAGGGTAGTAAGAGACTACTATGAATAATTACATGCTGAAGAGTGGGATAAACTAGAAGAAATGGACGAATTCCTAGAAATTTACAGCCTACTATACTGAATCATGAAGAAACAGAAAATTTGAATAGACCAATACAAGAGATTCAAACAGTAATGAAATACTTCCTAACATAACTATAAAGAACAAACAAATGGTTACCAGAGGGGTTGTGGGTGGGTGGGGGATGGGTGAAATAGGTGAAAGGATTAAGAGTACACTTTCTTGATGAGCACTGAGTAATGTATGGAATTGTTGAATCACTGTATGGTACACCTGAAACTAATGTAACACTGTATATTAACTACATTGAAATTAAAATTTAAAAAAAAGATAGTAAATAGAGTATTTAAGTATTTAGTGTAAAAGTATCACTAGAACAGAACAACAATCATTCTAAATACTAAATAAAAAGAGACAGCAAAGCAAACAAACAAATAAAACAAACAAACCTTCCAACAAGGAAAAGCCCAGACCAGATGGTTTCACTGATGAATTTTGCCAAATATTTAAGGAATTAATGCTTATTCTTCTCAAACTCTTCCAGAACATTGAAGAGGAGGGAATGCTCTCAGACTCATTTTACAATGCCAGCATTACCCTGTTACCAAAGCCAGATAAAGATGGTATAAAAAGGAAAATGACAGGCCAATGTCCTTAATGAATCTAGAAGCAGAAATTCTCAACAAAATACTAGCAAACTGAATTCAATAACACATTAAGAGGATCATATACTGTGATCAATTTACATTTGTCCGTAGGGTGTAAGGATGTTTCAACAATAGGTAAATCAATAAATGTGACATACCACGTTAATAGAATGAAGGATAAAAATTATATGATCATCTCAATAGATACAGCAAATTCATTTGACAAAATTAAACATCCTTTCATGATAAAAACTTTCTATAAATTAAGTATAGAACAAACGTACCTCAACATAAGGCAGGTCATACATTACAAACCCACAGCTAACATCATACGGGATGGTGAAAGATTGAAAGCTTTCCCACTAAGATGAGGATCAAGACAAGGGTGCCCACTCTCACCTGTCTTATTCAACATAATGCTGGAATTCATTGTCAGGACAGTTAGGCAAGCAAAAGAAATAAAAGGCATCCAAATAGGAAAGGAAGAAGTAAAATGATATCTGTTCACAGACAACATGATCTTATATATAGAATTCTCTAAAGACTCCACTAAAAAGCTAACTGGTAGAACTAATAAGCAAATTCAGTAAAGTTGCAAGATACAAAATCAATATACAAAAATCAATTGCTTTTCTATACACTAGCAATGAACTATGTGGAAAAGAAATAAAACAATCCCACTTAAAATAGCATCAAAAATGATAAAGTACTGGGGTGCCTGGTGGCACAGTTGGTTAAGTGTCCGACTCTTGGTTTCAGCTCAGGTCATGATCTCGTGGTGGTGGGATCAAGGATCTTGTTGGGCTCTGTGCTCAGAGCAGACTCTGCTTGAGTTTCTCTCTCCTTCATCCTCTGCCTCTCTGCACCATGTTCCCTCTCTCTCTTTGGACTAAATAAATCTTTTTTAAAAATGATAAATTACTTAGGAATAAATTTAACCAAGGAGGTGAAAGATCTATATACTGAAAACTCTAAGACACTGATAAAAGCAGTTGAGGAAGACACAAATGAATGGAAAGATATCCTGTGCTCATGGATCAGAAGAAAGTAATATTGTTAAAATGTCCCTACTACCCAAAGTGATCTACTGAGTCAATGCAATCCCTATGAAAATTCCAGTGGCATTTTTTTCACAGAAATAGAGAACACATTCCCAAAATTCATATGGAACCACAAGAAAAAAACAAACCAAAAACAAAACAAAACAAAAAACTACAAAAAAACAAATAGCCACAGGAATCCTTAGAAAGAAGAATAAAGCTGAGGTATCACACTTCTTGATCTCAAAACATATTACAAAGCTATAGTAATCAAAACAGTGTGGTACTGGCATAAAAACAGACATATAGACGGAGCAGAATGGGGAGCCCAAATATAAATTCACACATTATACAGTCAACTAATACTTGACAAGGACACCAAGAATACACAATGAGTAAAGGATAGTCATTTCAATAAATCGTGCTAGGAAAACTAGGTTTTCACATGCAAAATAATGAAATTGGGTCCCTATCTTATACCACTCAAAAATATTAACTTGAACTAGATTAAAGACTTAAATGTAAGACCTGAAATTATAAAAATGTAAGGCCTCACACTGTAAAATGACTAGAAGAAAACATAAGGAGAAAGCTTCTTGACATGGGTGTTGGCAGTTTGGGATATGACACCACAAGGGCAATGCAACAAAAGCAAAAATAAAGCAAGTAGAACTCCATCAAACTAAAAGTCTTCTTTGCAGCAAAAGAAACAATCAGCAAAAATAAAGGGCAACCGGGGCACCTGGGTGGCTCAGTCGTTAAGCGTCTGCCTTCAGCTCAGGTCATGATGCCAGGGTCCTGGGATCGAGCCCCACATCGGGCTCCCTGCTCAGCGGGAAGCCTGCTTCTCCCTCTCCCACTCCCTCTGCTTGTGTTCCCTCTCTCGCTGTGTCTCTCTGTCAAATTAATAAAATCTTAAAAAAATAAATAAATAAAATAAAGGGCAACGTACAGAATGGGAGAAAGAAGATATTTGCACACCATATGTCTGATCAGGGGTTAATATCCAAAACATATAAGGAACTCCTACAACTCAATAGCCAAAAAACAAACAATCGAATTAAAAATAAGACAATGGACTCGATAGACATTTTTCTAAGAAAGACATACTCATGGCCAACAGGCACATGAAAAGATGCTCAACATCACTAATCATCAGGGAAATGCAAATCAAAACCACAATGACATATTCGCTCACATCCGTTAGAATGGCTATGATTAAAAAACAAAAATGAAAACAAAAACAAAAAAAACAAGCGACAAAAGTTTTGATGAGGATGTGGAGAAAATGGAACGCCAGGGCACTATTGGTGGGATTGCAAACTGGTGTGGCCACTATGGAAAACAGTATGGAGGTCCCTCAAAAAATTAAAAATAGAACTACCATATGATCCAATAATTCCACTTCTGGGTATATATCCAAAGGAAATGAGATGTCTGCACTCCCATATTCATCGCAGCATATTATTCAAAATAGTCCAGGATGTGGAAACAATCTAAATGTCTTTTGATGGATAAATGGATAAGGAAGATTGTGGTGTGTATTTATACAATGGAATATTATTTATCCACGAGAAAGAAGGAAATCCTGCCATTACTAACAACATGGATGAACCTAAAGAACCCTGAAATTAGCCAGAGAAAAACAAATACTGTACGATTTCACTTATATATGAAATCTGAAAATAAAAGTTGAACTCATAGAAACAGAAAGAGAATGGTGGTACCAAGGGCTGGGAGGTGGGGGAGATGGGGAGTGCTGGTCAAAGGGTATAAGCCTTCAGTTAAAAATGAGTAAGTTTTGGGGATCTAATGTACAATACGGTGACAGTAGTTAATAATGCTGTGTTTGTACTTGAAATTTGCTAAGAGAGTGGGCCTTAAGCGCTCTTACCACACACACACACACACACACACACACACACACACGGTAACTGCAAGGTGGTGGATGTGTTAAATAACCTGATTGTGGTAATCATTTCACAAAGTATGTGTATGTCAAATCATCATACTTACACTTTAAATAAACACAATTTTATTTCTCAAAAAACAGATTTGTTAACTACTGGTGTTAATAGTGATAGCTCAGGAATTTCTTGTTAGTACCAATTTCTTGTTAGTTCTGGTTTAATAAATCATTATGATTTTTAAAAAAGGTTAATACAGAAAGTGTATTTCAAAAAGAATTTCTGTTAGCTCTTCACTTGCATATAATTCTGCTTTTATAAATAATTTAGATTTAAATGGAACTTCAAAAATTATACAAACTTAGCCTGATTTTTGTGAGTTTAGAAAAATAAACCTCATTTATTGACTAGAAGAGAAAATATGGGCAAAGAATCTGAATAGACATTTCTTCAAAAAAGATATACAAATGGGCAATATGTGCTTTTGAAAAAATGCAAAACATTAGCCATTTGGAAAATGCAAGTGAAACCACAATGAGAAACCACTTCCCACCCAATAGGATGGTTGTAATAAAAAAGGCAGACAATAACAAATGTTGGCAAGGATGTAGAAAAATCGAAACCCTCATATATTGCTGGAGGGAATGTAAAACGGTACAGCCTCTTTGGAGAACAGTTTGGCAGTTCTTCAAACATTAGACATAGAGTTAGCATATGACCCTGCTAGCATATATCACTCCTAGGATAAAACCAAGAGAATTGAAAACATATGTCCGCATAAAAACTTGTACACAAATATTCATAGTAGCATTGTTCATGATAGCCCAGAGATGGAAACAATCCAAATGTCCATCAATAATAAGTAGGTAAATAAAATGTGGTATATTTATTTAATGGAATATTACTCAGCCAGAAAAGCAAATGAAATACTGAAGCATGCTACAATATGATGAACCTTGGAAACATTATCTTATGTGTCAGGCGAACGTGATAACCACTACACTACAGAAACCTGGCCACAACATTATCTTATGTGAAAAAGTCAGTAATAAAAGAGGACATACTATACAATTCCATTGATGTGAAATGTACAGAATAGGCAAATCTATACAGACAGAAGATAAAACAGTGTTTGCTTAGGACTGGGGTACTTGGGAGGAAATAGGAAGTGACTGCTAATGGAGATATATGTATATATCAATATATATATAATTTTTGCTTTTTTCTCAGTTCCACCTTTATAGAAATAATTGAAATAATTGAAATAATTGGGAATTTGTGTTTCAGATTACTAGTCATTTTTTTCTGACAAGATGCCTCATCCATTTATAAAATCCTTTTTATATGCTACATTATACTTCAAACTATATCATCAATTATGTAGATTTAACATTAAAATAATTTTTATAGGTTTTCTTTATCACAGCTATTTTTTAGATGGTAAGTCTTCCCCTAACTTGAGCTTTATTTTCTAATTTTTGTTTTGTTTTTAAAGATTTAATTAATTTATTTATTTTAGAAGTGGGGAGAGGGGCAGAGGGAGAGAGAAAGAGAAAATCTCAAGCAGACTCCCCACTGAGCATGGAGCTCGAATCGGGGCTCAAACTCACAACCCTGGGATCATGACCTGAGCCAAAACCAAGAGTTGGACACTTAACTGACTGAGCCACCCAGGTGCCCCTATTTTCTAATTTTTAAAGAACAGAATGTTTAGAACCAGAACAGGGGTGGTATACTTTGAGTGTTTCCTTGTCTGGTTACGAACATTTTAAAGGCTTTTGCTAAAGCCCTAATTTTAAAGGTTATTGCCAAATTGCTTTCCAGAAAAGTTGTGCTGATGTAACTTCCATTTGGATTTTGTGGGTGTTTCTATTTCTCCATGCTCTCTTTCTTCAATACTGAACATTCTCATCCTATTTAGTACCTAATAACATACGTCATATTTGAAACCTAATACCTCATTAATGTTTTAACTTGCATTCTTTATTAATGAGTTTAAATTTTTTAAATATAATTACTGAACACTATTTTCCTTTTATGTATTGCCAGATTATGTAATTTGCATATTTTTCTATTGGGGTATTTATATATTTTATTGCTTTATAAGTTCTCTTTATATATTAAGGATATCATCATATATATTATAAATAATTTGCCCAGTTGATACTTTATTGGGTTTATTTATGCTATTTTCTGATTGGTACCAGAACACTTGTTGGGATTTCATTAGGGAGATGGTTAAGAGCTTGGACTGTGGATTCAAATCCCAGCTCAACCATTTGTTCATTGTGTGAAATCTTGGCAAATTGCTCAATCTCTGTTAACTGCTAACACTGATACAAAATCAAAGTGCTAACTTCAGAGTATTGTTGAGAGGATTAAATGACTTAAAAGGCTTAGCATAATAGCTGTAATAATTTAGAATACATTCAATCATTTCATTTCTCGCTGTTACTATTTGTGTTCTTTTTTAACAGATGAGCTAAACAGAGATAAAGAGAATGGTGTGGAATGAATGAGTGTATGAGTTATATTTGCCGCTCTGTTTGGCTTCTTCCCATTAACCTTCCCCCAGGTGAAACTTGCTGAAGACCTTTTTACAGTGTAGCATTTGGGTCCTACTTATCAGAACTACTGACAGTGGACTTAACCTCCCTTTATCAGGTAGCATATTTGATAGACAATCTCATTCTTATTTTGTTTCAACAACTTGGGTACTTGTTGGGTACTCATTATGTAGGTTTTCAATTCAGTCTACTTTTCAAATAAATAACGCTCAGCAAAATAGATTATTGTTTTCAGATACAGTGGATACTTCATTAAGCCTGTTTTTCCTATTTCCATAATAATGACAGTTGTACAGGTAAAAGATTTATTGAGTGAACAAAAGGGTGTTCCTACCTCTGAATATACCATGGACACTTTAGTTCTTTTTTGATTGTGGCATTTTCCTCTCTCAAATGCTAGGAGGAATAGGAATGTGAGATTTCCATGGGGAAGTCTTACTCATGTTGTTTCTTTTTATATCAGTTTTACATATCTATATATTCTGTGGTTGAATAAAATATGTCCTCTCAGGCGCCTGGGTGGCTCAGTCGGTTAAGCGACTGCCTTTGGCTCAGGTCATGATCCTGGAGTCCTGGGATTGAGTCCTGCATCGGGCTCCCTGCTCGCCGGGGAGTCTGCTTCTCCCTCTGACCCTCCTCCCTCTCATGCTCTCTGTCTCTCATTCTCTCTCTCACAAATAAATAAAATCTTAAAAAGAAAAAAATATGTCCTCTCTATGGTCACTGGTGCAACCTTTGTACATTCACTACCCTTTATATTCAGATGTCCTTCTTAAAACCCCATCTATACAAATGAATGCAACTTTGTACTCTTTCACCTTTGAAAAATTTGTAACAATCACCGTATCTTCTTGATCATGAGAATGGAAAATGCTTAAGTTCTCACAAAATTCCCTTTATAAGCTATTTTTAGTTTTCAGATATTCAATCATACATGCCTTTTAGAAAGGCAAAAAAAAAAAAGCTCATTGATGGAAGGGAAGAAAGAATATTTGTATTGCTACTCTGTAATCTATTGATGAAATCATTGTAAACTAGATTATTTATAGTATATGTTTATATATTTATATTTAGTATATACTAAAAATATATGTAATATACATTAGATATATGTATATAAAACAGAAGAAGTGATTTGTCGTGATTTGGTTTTATAAGAACAGAATGTTAGCATTTGAAAAATGAACATTAAAGATCATATGGTCTAACGCTCTTAGTTTACAAATGATACAAGCTTAGGAAGGTGGCAGCACATGGATTACCCAAGCCTTTCTGTGGGAGAACCTAATCAAGTATTCAGGGTTGTTTATTGGTACCATTACTATAGTCATATTTTCACTCAATTCTAAACCCTTTTAATGTTATATAATTTTATTCTTTACCTTCAGTATGCTATATACATTCCTGTCTCGAAGTCCCAGTAGAAGAATAAGTGATTACTATTTTGCCTTTACCTGTGCCCTTCATTCTGCCTATGGTGGGCTTTGAAATTGTGTGCCATGTTCAAAGGTTTCCAGATAGCCCAAGATCATCATAATTAACTGGACAAGCTTAATAGTTAGGACTGAAAATGACATTTCAATGGCTGTGCCTTTTCATTAAACAACATATTAGAAGTACAGCATACTCTATCTAATTGCATTGATCATGTACCCCTGGATAATACTACTTTTCTTTCCCTACTCCTTGGGAGGTATTCAGTGCTGGTATTGGTTAAGTAGCACTTGATAGTTTCTCATATATTCCCATATTACCTCTTTAAATTGCTAAAATGCCCTCTTTTCTACCTTCCAATCAAGGCACATTTGTTCAAATATTGGGTGGCCCCTCCTTCCTACTTTCCCTCCTCCCTCCCTCCCTCCCTCCCTCCCTCCCTTCCTTCCTTCCTTCTTTACTTCCTTCCTTCCTTCCTTCCTTCCTTCCTTCCTTCCTTCCTTCCTTCCTTCCTTCCTTCCTTCCTTCTTCAGTGTTTTAAATACCAATTCAACACTTGTTCTAATGGGTTGGACACTGAATATATATGATGCAGCATAGACTCAGGCCCTGCCTTAATTGAGAGTTTTTTGGAGGTTTTTTTGGCAGATTTTTTTCAGCTTTATTGAGGTATGATTGACAAATAAAATGCTAAAATATTTAAAGTGCACATTGTCATGATTTGATATTGTATACATTGTGGAAATATTTCCCCTATTGAGTTAATTAACATATCCTCTCACCTCACATATTTTTACCTTTTTTTTTGTGAAAATATTTAAGTTCTACTGTTTTAGCAAATTTCAAATATAAAATAAATATTAGCAACTATGTTGATACAAACATGTTATACATTAGCTCCTCAGACCTTATTCGTCTTATAGCTTGAATGAGTTTTTAAAATACGATTATACAGAGGAGGTATGAGGTTTTTTTGGAACTAGCACTCTGATCATGTCACCCTCTGTCCAGAGTTTTTCTTTTTATTTATTTATTTATTTATTTATTTATTTGAGAGTGAGAATGAGAGAGCATGAGAGGGGGAGGGTCAGAGGGAGAAGCAGACTCCCTGCTGAGCAGGGAGCCTGATGCGGGACTCGATCCAGGGACTCCAGGATCATGACCTGAGCCGAAGGCAGGCGCTTAACCAACTGAGCCACCCAGGCGCCCCTGTCCAGAGTTTTTCAATGATTTCCCACTGGCGACAGGATGAAATTTCTCTCCCTTTGCATGGCATAGAAGGGGTTTCATGGCCTGGACCCTTTATGTCCAAGTTCAAGGCATACTTATGTAGTATAAGCAGTCAAGCAAAACCTCTGGCTTTCAGCTGAAACCTGGAGGATGAGTAGGAGAGAGCTGCGCAAGCGAAGAGTGTGGGTTGGGTAAGAATAGCCCGAGGCACTGGCATGAAACTAAGTGCAGGTCTTGATGCAAACTAGAACATAGCAAAACCCCTGTTGGCTTTTTTACCCTGGATTCCTCATCTGACTCATAGGCCACAGAAAATGATTTGAGTATCTATTTTCTCAGTTTTCCCAAGGAGGATCCATAGCAAGTACTATTCTAGACACTTAGGAGAAAAGTTAGTTACCTGCACTGGATGCCTTAGGTTAGGTCTTATATCAAGACTTTCAAGCTTAATTCTCTCTGGGAACTCTGGTTGAGAAAGGCTGTGAGTATGGATATTGCTGCAACAGGTCATGAATCCATAGGGTTCTCCTTTGACTTAGAGATTACCTCATTATTGCATTTCATCGCCAGTGTGCTTGGTAATCCCAGAAATGCTGTGATAGGTGCCTGATGACTGTAAACATTGTGTTTTTGCAAACTCAAGTGCCTGAAGCCATAGCATACTCTGTCTACCTTTCACTGGTCTTCCTGTGCTTGGCCTGGGAGGACTTCCAACCCTCTTACCTCTACTTTGCAGCCTTGCATACACGATGTCTTGCAGGTTGCCTCAATACATTGTGTAGGTCACACTATTTCCACTAGCACTGACACTAGAGAATTTGGGTCTGAAAGAGGAGAAATATCCCTATGCCCACGAAACAGAGATCCCCTGCTTAGTGGCAGCAATCGTCTTCTAAATCCTGTCTATATTCAGGAGCATGTCTGGGACCATTAAATACCTAAGCATTGAAAAAAAGCTTCTTATCCAGTGACCAGTTCAGCCCCTGTAGATAACACTTCTTAAAATAGGCACTGGTATCTAGACTCTCTGTCAGGACTGCACCACGGGTGAATGCCACAGCATATGGCCTAAGAAAACCATTCAGAGACAAGATGAATGTTCAGCAAAATTTGTCTGAGCTTTTCCTGTATTGAGTCCCTTTTCCTGGCTGTGATACCTATTTACTGTGAAACTGTTGTCTGTCCCTCTGCTACCTACCTCTGATTGATTTTCTGAATCACCTAAATCTGTTATCAGTTATTTTTCTAAAACATAAGTCTGATCACGTCACTCCTCTGTCCAGAGTTTTTCAATGGCTTCCCATTGGCTATGAGATGAAACGCCTCTCTCTTTGTATGGGGTGAGGAAGGGCTGTCATGACCTAGATCCTGTTCTCTGTTCCAGTTTAATTCCTCCTCTCCCCACCTCACCCCTGGCATTTTATACTGTGTCAACCCTGAACTAATTCCCCCAAAGCAGAATTTACGGCTGTTTGATTGCCTTTGCACACACAGTCCGCTCCCCTGGAATAGACTTTTTTTTTTTCCTGTTAAGATATATGGAGGCTCTTTCTACTAGACTGATGTGCCTCCTGCAAATCAATGATATGATGATAACTTGCCAGTCTCCATTCTCTTTATAAGGTTGTGAGGGAGAGTGTTATCTTTCCATGCTGTTTTAGCCTCAGCTCTAGTAGAGTATTATACATATCCACTCATTAAATATTTATTGCTTTAGGAACAGTAGAAACAGTGGTAAACACACAGGTAGGGCTCCTGCTCTTGAGTTTACATTCTAATATGTGTAAGTGTGTGGCACTAAGTAAGTAAACAAATGTTAATGACATCTCTAAGAGACCTAGAGGAAACAGGAAGGATCAGATGATAGGGAAGGGAGCCGGTGGTGGCAAGGGGAGAACTAATCTAGACAGCGATTTCTGGGAAAACCTCACCAAGGAGGTGATATTTGAGCGAAGGTCTGACAAGGTTGAGAATCCAAAGAGTTTGGGGCAATGTTGTAAGCAGAGGAGAAAGCAAATGCAATGGACCCTAATACAGCAATGAACCTGACACGGTAGAGGAATGGAAAGAAGACTAGTGTGGGTGGAGCACAAGGGGAGAGTGGTTCGAGGTGTGCTTGGAGAGGTAGGGGGGATTTGGATTATGTAGGCTTTTCTTGAATTGAATGCGTCATCTATTTATGCATGATTGGTTGTCCTCATTCTCCTGCCTAGCGTTGGGTTCCACTTCTCCCCAGCTGTGTTCCCACTGGACCTGATATCATGGCAATAAGAGCAAGAGTGTTATACATTTCTCCAGTTTTATTGGTGGAATTTCACCAGCTTTGGAAACATTAAGGGAATCAACTTGTTTTCAGTGTTTGTTCTAAGCAGGCCTTTGACAGGAGCCAGAATGAATTCAGGATGATGTGGGTGATGATTGCAGAGGAACTAGACTAAGTACACTTCATGGAGATCTCTAGGAATATGCCCAGGATGGAACTCCTTCCATTTGCACCTGGCTTTTGTCTTCATCCGAACCAGTGACCTAAAAAATAAAAGAAGAGTTCCATGTACAGTGATCAGTTCACTCCCTACACCAGCAGAACGTTAGGGCAGAACCCAGTGCAAAGACCATGAGTGAACTCTAGAAATGTAACTGCATTTTCCCAAGATGGCAATTGGACTTAAAAAATACATATATGTATGTATGTGCACCGAAGGATATAACTGCTGATCTGAAGGCTCTAAAAGGCTTCAGAGTAACAGTGAAGTGGACTACTCGTTCTTCTTCCAGCTGTTGTTTTCACAACACTGTTGACAGTTGAAATCCATCACACAGGCGGGGGATGGGTCAGCCCAGTGATGGGTATTAAGGAGGGCACGTACTGCATGGAGCACTGGGTGTTATACACAAACAATGAATCATGGAACACTACATCAAAAACTAATGATGTAATGTATGATGACTAACATAACATAATAAAATAAAAAAAATAAAAAAAAATCCATCACACATTCTCTTGTCCTTTTAATGTCAACACTTACTATTCCAAGTGGACTATAGAATCAGACCAAAATAGAAGGATGCAGACTGATATCTCGGAGGTAAACTAAGAACTGGACCAAATTAAATAAAAGTAATTTGCAATCTAACTCACAGTTACGTATTGTACAAGAGGCTGTTTGTCCTGGTGAAACAGAGGCTTTCGGTGCTTGCTTTGTTTTGACAACCTGTTACCAGAGGGGAATTTCATACAGAACAGGCAAAATTTTGAATTAGAATTAAATTAAAAAAAAATGGAACAGGCAAAATTTTGAATTAGAATTAAATTTAAAAAAAATGGAACAGGTTGTGAAATACGGATAGCCTTCTTGATGTTGATTTCCTTTGATGCTTAAGCATTGTTTGAAGTCAAGAAAACAATGCCATCTCCAGTTTTTGTTGTTGTCGATCTCCTCAGGAAAAGTGTGACCTCCTTCCTTCTCTTTACATTGGCATCTGGCCCATGCCTTTACCTTCAACTTTTATAACTGCTTTCAAATTGTATTAACTTTGAAGACTAAGAGCCTTCAAACGACCCACATTTGAATCCTGGGCCGACTTGATCTTTTTTTTTTTTAATTTTAGTATGGATATGAAATTTTGCTTAAAACCCCAGTAGTTTAAAATGTGGCATCCTACAGAATGTCACACCATATAAAAAATTCTGGTGTCCTTGAAGTTTCCCCCTGAAAGGGAAAAATTACAAATGAATATAGGTTCAAGTCAGTCCAATTTCCTGTTTTTCTTAAAATTTTCCTGTACAACACATAAATTTATCAAACTCCTTTCCTGGTGACAATACTTCATTAGATTACTTTAGTATTGGGGAGATTTTAATCTTATGAGTCATAAAATTCTTTTATTCCCCAGGGAATTTCCTGTGTCTGCCTGGAATTTCATGTCTTTGTAGTTTTAGCTGGACTCCTTGAAGCAGTTACTCTCTAAATGACTGTGCTCTTGAGGTCTGTGTGTAATACCTGGGGAACCAGGTCACAGATTGGCTCCTGCTTTTCAAGAAAATTGAAAAATTAATCCCTTTCACTGCCTTAGTCTTAGTAACTGTATTCAGACATTTCCTTAAAATTTTTAACCTCTTCCTCTCATGATGGAGGTGTTTTCACTTGCTGCTTTTGCAGTACCCAGCATTAATCTTTTTGTGCCCACTTGGGCAGACTTTTGTCTTATTTCTGTGACTGTACCCCAGTGACTTGATGTTCGTGGGTTGCTCGCCTGTCCCATCAGATTTTCATCACTCGGTGTAAAGGAAAAGGAGATAGAGTTACAAATATATTGGACCATTTAGCAATTGATGAGAAATGCCTTTAGATATCCTCTTTCCTCCTCTATTTTTTTCTTTTTTCTTTTCTTTTCTTTCTTTCCTTTTCTTTCTTTCTTTCTTTCTTTCTTTCTTTCTTTCTTTCTTTCTTTCTTTCTTTCTTTCTTTCTTTCTTTCTTTCTTTCTTTCTTTCTTCTTTCTTTCGCTCTTTTTGAAGAAGGTGAAAGTCAGGTTATTGTGGAAAGGCAGAACCCTTGTGTGTTCTCATCTGAAAGGTCCGGGAAAGTGAAGATGATACTTTTTGACATGTGAGTTTCAGAAATTCTTGGTGATTATTGCTAACACACACTTTGCTTATGTGAGAAGCTTCATCTGCATGTGCATGTCTCTGTGTGTTTGAAAAGATAGTGCCGAACTGTGTTCTGATAATAAATGGCAGCTGAGCATGCACAGAGACAACTGACGTCTAAGTCTGGATATGCTATTTGGCAAGGCTCATCTGACATGGGACACACGAAAAATGTAAGGCTGCTAGAACATCGACACTAACAAATTATTCAGAAGTAGATTACTAGAAATTCTTTTACTAGATTTCAGTATGTTTGGTGTCTTTAAGGACAAATCTAGAATTTTATCCGGAAAGCTAGGTACTTATATAATACTTCTCTTATGGCTACTTTCTCATTTTTTCAGCATAGAAAAAGCACTTTTTAAAAATTTGAGATAAATAAAGGAAGGTATTCTATTTATAAATCGTGAAGGAATATATGTCCCAGGTTAGAATTTTACTTGGTTGATTAGTATATCATTTATTTTTAGAGTAGAGAAAAATCAATGCAACAATTACTTGCTATTTATGTATATACGGAAAATATAAGTCCTTGGAATGTAGCACACATTATCATTGCATAATCTATATCCATATGCTGTTTATAACAAGCTGAAATGTTAGACCCATGAGAAAAGAACCAGATTCTGGCACAGGAATGTTTTGTGGTAAAGAAAGATGAATGGATTCCAAAAAAAAAAAAAAAAAATCTTTTTTAAAGCTTGATGGTTCCACAGTAACACAAGAGAGCTGAAATGGGGTTTGGAGATATATATGTTAGCGTCAGCTGACACTTAAAACAGTTAATTCCCTTCTTCATCTGCGTTCTCCAGCTCTTCTGATCCTGGCTTAGGTAAATGAACTGGCTCACCTTCTGAGCAGGTAAAGGCAGGAGCAAAGATGTCTGGCCATGTAACCTCTCCCTAGCCTCTTCCCTCATCCCCTTACGTGGTCCTTCTTTAACAGTCGTTTTTCCTAATGGGGACAGATCTGTATCAGTTAGTGATGCAGGGGTTGGAGCCCCTTGGCTTAACTGCTGTGAGCATGTTGCTCATGATGCAAGGGCCTCAGGTTTGATTGCCAGTGTATTTTCATACAACGAGAAGGCCTTAGTCCAGACATGTATTGCTCCCAACACCATTTCTTATATAAATTCAAGATAAGGGGATTTGTGTGTATGAAAATGACTCATGAAAAATATATTCTGATCTCATTAGAATGGCTATTATTAAAAAAAAACAGAAAATAATGAGTGTTGGAGAGGATGTGGAGAAATTAGAAATTACTGATGAGAATATAAAATGGTGTAGCTAGTACAGAAAGCTGTATGACAGTTCCTCAAAAAATTAAACACAGCAATTCCACTTTTAGGTATGTGCTCAAAAGACCTGAAAACAGGGACTTGAACAGGGTCTGTACACCAGTGTTCACAGCAGCATTATTCACAGTTGCCAAAGAGCAGAAACAACTCAAACATCCATTGAAGGATGAATGGATAAACAAAATGTGCCATATGCCTAAAATGGAGTATTATTCAGCCTTAAAAAGGAATGAAATTCTGATAAATGCCACAACATGGATGAATCTTGAAAACATTATGCTACATGAAATAAGCCAAGCACAAAAGAACAAATATTATATGATTCCATTTATATGAGGTACCTAGAATAGTCGAATTCATCAAGACCTAGAGTCATAGGGACAGAAAGTAGAATGGTGGTTACTTACCAGGGACTGGGAGATGGTGGGAGTGGGGAATTACTGTTTAATGGATACAAAGTTTTAGTTTGGGAAGATAAAAAAATCCTGGAAGATGGATAGTGGTGATGGTTGCCCAGCAGTATGAATGTACTTAATGCCACTGAACTGTATACCTAAAAATGATTAAAATGGTAAATTTTATTTTATGTATATTTTACCACTATATATACATATATATTGGAAAAATGCATGTGTGTGTGTATCTACTCCATTCTCAATACTCTATTATAATACTACTTCACTTCTGATACCAGACATGTGGGTTTTCCACATATCAAGCAATTCTGTAACACCATCTGGATGTCTTACAATTTGACTCCATTCTAACATTGTCTACCTGAAGATAATGTCACATCCCACATGTTGGTGAAAGGCTCAGTCCCACAAGACTCCCCTTACCTCCCCTTCAGATGTCAAATACAAGGCCAGGTTGTTGTTACTTAGGCTTCTGATGGACCTATGGCTATAAATTGAAAGTTCCCATAACCCCCTCTTCAGGTTGAATTAATTTGCTAGGGTGGCTCACAGAACTCAGGAAAAAGTTTTCTTACTAGATGACCATTTTGTTATAAAGGGATATAACTCAGGAAGAGATGCACAGGGCATTTATGTGGGAAGTTGTTGCAAAGCTTCCATACCCTAACTGGGAGCCCTACTTTCCTAGCACTTCCACATATTCATCAACCAGGAAGCTCTGTGAACCCATCCTTTTGGGTTTTTAATGGAGATTGAAAGTTGGAGAGTTCCAACCCTTTAATCACATGGCTGATTCCTGGGGCAACCAGCCCCCATCCTTAGGTCACCTAAGGGCTTTCCAAAAGTTATCTCATTAACATAAACTCAAGTGTGGTTGAAAGGGGCTTGTTATGAATAACAAAATACACCTTTGTCCCTCCAATCACTTAGGAAGTTCCAAGCGTTTTAGGAGTCTGTGCCAAGAAGGGGGCAAAGACGAAACATGTATTTCTTATTACAAATGGAATTATCAGTCTACCCCCTTGTCTTCAAACCTGGATCCCTTTGTTTGCATTGCTTCCATTGGAGATCTTGTCAGGAACAGGAGTGAAGACAAAATATGTATTTCTTATAAATCACAATATCACTGTATATAAATATATATTATCTACTGTTATTTACCTTCGCTTTTATTGAATAGTAGTTATTTTTAAAAGTCCTATCTAAGAATTTTTCAAACCATCATAACTAGAGATTTAACAATAAGAAGTTAGACTTTGAACTACAGTGACAAAACGAAAAGATATGTGTTCCTTCCCTACCCTCCCAAATCCCAATTAAAACAACTAAAGGAATATAAAAGATCTTTCTAAACTTTGAGAATTCCTGTCAAATAAGGTAGATTAGGGTGTGATTAATGGATGACACTAAGGGAAGGTTTGTCATTCTCCCTTATGAGAAAGTGGTATGGTTGCAGTTAGGACGATCCTGTCAGAACCCAAATAGTACTTCTGAAGTTGGAGAGTTGAGAGAACTTAAAGGCCAGGTTAGTCCCTGGGAGAGGTGGGGAACTTGCCATTTTGGAAATCCTTCACTACTATTGAACAATTAAATTCAAAAGCAATTGAATGGATTAGGTCTAAAGATGATTATCATTATACAATATAGGTAAGAATTTGAACCTATCCTTGCTGGGCCAGGCAGTAGCTAGCAACCAGATGGACACCAGACATAGTCCCATCATATACTTGGGAAGGAAGCCAGAGGAAATTCCATGTGGGGAAAATGGTCCTTGGCATAAAAGATTTGCCAAATACAGTGAAAAGTGTTGTAGTTTTTTGAATGTTTTTTGAATGTTGCTGTGTTGGAGTTCGGAGCCGATGGTCAAGAAAGAATTCTTGAGACATCTTCGCTGCAAAAAGTTAGTTTTATTCAACCACGGGGGCAGGAACCGTGGTCAGAAAGAGCTGCTGCCGCTGTTGCCGGCTGCCTCCAGCTGCCCTGGGATTGTGAGGAGCAACTGATTATATACCTTGGGATTGGGGAAGTAAAGAGAAGGGAAGTTCCAAAAGGACTTTCATATACTAAAGGAGACTCAGGATCCTGGAGGAATGTTATAATCTGCCTATCTCAAGTGTTTGTCAATGGGTGGCTGGTTATAAGGACATTTAATTTTACATTTCCTTCTGCCTTTATTTCCCATATCAAAATGTATAGAAAGACAAATGTCCCCAGTGAGGATAACCTGTAACACCTGCTCCCTCCTAGTCCTCAGTGTTACTGGATCACTGACCTGGTAATATAAATTAGATCTTCAGCTCTCTGTGTGAGAGGAGACTTGTAACAGTACATAGGTGGACAGGAAAGAACTGAAGAAGAATATATGTCCATAATAACTTGGGGCCAATAGCAGGCCCAAGTGTACTTTTTTTTTTTTTTGATTTCATTTATTTATTTGACGGAGAGAGACACAGTGAGAGAGGGAACACAAGCAGGGGGAGTGGGAGAGGGAGAAGCAGGCTTTCCGAGGAGCAGGAAGCCCGACGTGGGGCTCGATCCCAGGATTCTGGGATCATGACCTGAGCCGAAGGCAGACAGACGCTTAATGACTGAGCCACTGAGGGCCCTCCCACTTCTTTTGATTAGTGTGGGAAGCAGAAAATGATCAGGCACGGAACCTACAAAATATTCGGCAGTGTAAGCAAATGAAAATAACAAAGCTCTGGGAGAAAGCATCCATGTTAAAAAATAATTTCATTGAAAAAGTATTTGCATTCTCAATAAGAGATAAAAAAATCTTTATAAAAGAGATGAAAGATGAAATGTCATCACAAACTCAGATGTGACACAGCTGATAAAATCAAGAAAATTCTGCAAGGAAACTAACAATCTTATAGCTGAATTGAAAACTTCATTAGAAGCAGTAAAGAACCAAATTGAATCTACTAAATATACACTTAGTAATCTGGAGAGCCACTTGACAAACTATTTTATAATGCAGAGGAAAAGGAAAATAAAATGACTGGAAGATTGTCAGTAATAAGATGACAGATGTAGATGATAGAAAACAGTGATTCAAGTGAGTGGATGATTGGTGTCCCTCAGGAAGAAAAATGGAAAAGACAAAAATCATAAAGAAGAAAACAATTAAGAAGTATATTAAGAAAGATAGTAGGTGCCTGGGTGGCTCAGTCAGTTAAGCGTCTGACTCTTGCTTCTAGCTCAAGTAGTGATTTCAGGTTGTGAGATCAAGCCCTGCATGGGACTCTGCCCTGGGCATGGAGCCTCCTTAGGATTCTCTCTCTCCTTCTCCCCCTGCACCTCCCCCTGCCAAAGTCTATGGATCCACTAGAGGAAAAGTCAAAGGAAAAAGGGAAATCACATGACATATAAAATCAGAAAATAAGATGACAGATGTTGAGATGAAGTATACTTGTTTTTATATAAATGGAAATGGGATAAACTTTCCTTTTAAGAGATAGAAGTCCTCAAGATTAGTTTAAAGAATCCAACTCTCCAAAATGTGTACTCTATCTAAAAGGGATGCTCAAAACAAAATGACACAGAAAAGTTAAAATGTTAAAAATGGAAGGATGGCAAAGATTGTAGCAAACTAAATGAAAGGAGTCACATTTTACTATCAAAATGAAACTAAAGGCAAACAACACCAAACATTTCTAAAAGAGGTTTTTAAAAAAATTGGCTAAGTCTGCAATCTACGATGAAGATGTAATGATCTTGAAACTTTATATGCCAATAACATAACCTCAAAATATACATGAAAAAAATGCTAGAGATAGAGGAAATTGAAACGCAAGTGTAATGACAGACTTCAACATCTTTCAGTGTTTGATAGATCAAATTGGGAAAAATAAAACATGGGTCTCTGAACATAATTCACAATGTTGCTGAAGTGGATATACATCAACTTAGGATAACATGAGGATACCACCAACTTATTTGCAAGTATCCAAAGAAGAATTAAGAAAATATGAAAGCCTTAAAGTATAAACTGATCAGTCCAGACAACTGTACGAATCATAATCTGAGTAAAATATAGGAAAGCAGAAATTAATAATAAAGTGGAAGCAAAAATCCCAACAACTTTTTAAACATAGAACTCCTTGAATGACTCTTGAATGAAATAAGCAAGCAGAACTACATTTATACAACGTTTTTCTGTGAACAACTGATTTTTCTGCCTAGAGGCTTATAGGAGTTTATATCTTAATGTTAAATAATTTCCTCAGTATAATTCTGTTTTGATGGTCTGTATTAATTTTTTTAAATCTTTTTTTCTTTAATTTATTTATTTGTCAGAGAGAGAGAGAGCACAAGCAGGGGGAGTAGCAGGCAGAGGGAGAAGCAGGCTCCCCACTGAGCAAGGAGCTCAATGTGGGAGTTGATTCCAGGACCCAGGACCATGACCTGAGCCAAAGGTAGACGCCTAACCAACTGAGCCACCCAGGCATCCTGTATTAATTTTTTTTTTTTTAAGATTTACTTATTTGAGATAGAGAGTGCAAGTGGGGGAAGGGGCAAAGGAAGAGGGAGAGAGAAAATCTCAAGCAGACTCCATGCTGAGTGCAGAGCCTGACATGGGGCTTCATCTCATGACTCTGAGATCATGATCTGAGCTGAAATCAAGAGTCCAATGCTTAACTGACTGAGCCACTCAAGTGCCCCTGTATTAATTTTTCCTGAAACATCTTGAATCCTTACTATCTATAGATTTAGTTATTAATTTTAGGAAACATTCACTCTGTTTTAACTGGGAAAATATTTGTTTTATTCATTTTGCTTTCTGTTTTAGGGTCTCCCTCTTTTGTTGTTTGCTCTCCAAATGTATCATACATATACATACATGGTTGCTTTCATCTGTCTATTTTCTTCCATATCCACTTTTCTTGAGCTGTTTTTTCTTGTCAGAGATTCAATTTTCTTCTGTGTCAGTTCTGCTCTTTGACATTTCTAATACATTTCCTATTTCTGAAATAATAGGGATTTTTAGTTTTTTCCTTGACTCTGCTAATGACTTTTCATTTCAATCTGTTGTCCACTTAGCTCCTTTTGAAATCTCTTGTGGAGTTCATATTTTCTTTAATTTCCTTGAGAGTTATTAACTGTTTGTGGTTTAATTTCTTTCTCTGTTTTCTGGGATAAAACTTCCAGGGGCGAAAAAAAAAAACAAACCAACATTACTTGTGTTTTGAGTACTTAGACTTCTTTCACTGGAGAAATTTTTCCTTTCTTTTTTAGCTTACTCATTTATGAAGGGCAGTTCTAAAATTTTTTGTCCAAAAATGGTGGTAGGTGTTTTCTCCTTGAGTCTCCTCCTCCCTGTCTACCCGGAATTTGGCTGTCTGCCTTCACACAGGAGCATGAGGAGCATGGACTGTTAACCCATCAGTGGCTTCGGAGAACTGTGGGAGGAGGAGGAGCGCTGGGTCCTCTTTCACTGCATGACCGGTTTGTTTGGTCTTCTGCATCTAGAAGCCCTGTATTCAGCACTTGCTGACTTTGGGGACACCTTCCAAGTTTGAACTGTCCTTCCACTTCAGAGTGGACCCTTTGGGTGCTCTGATACGGAGGCCCCAAAGGTTTTGAATTATACATTTAATGTGGTCCATTGTTTTTTATGTTTGGGGAGACTGATTCCCTCTTATTCATTCTCTCTCCTACCCTTGTTTGTCAGCAAAGACAATTAACATCCTCCAAATCATTCTCCAAGTCCCACTTCCCCTCACCAGAAATGTTTAATATCAAATTTCAGTAGTTGTCCTGATGTCCGTCTTTTCTTTAGCTGTCACGTGCAGAATGAGACTCTGGCTGCCTGCTTCCACCCCTCCCGTGGTGGCCCACACACCGGGGCATCCTCACTGGGCTGTCTGGGGTGTTTCTGAATTTCTGTTTCACAGATAGCACTTCTCAAAGGTTGTTGTATGATGTTGATAATGTTCCTAGTTTCAGGACTGAAAAAATATTCTTGGCTTTTTCAAAAACTGATTTCATTTGATTTCTGCTAAGGGAAATCATCAAGTTTGCATCTATGCTGCTTTATGCCCAGAGTCTGCTTCTTGGCTTTTGCTTTTGTTGCTCTCTGATATTCTCTCCACTCCATACACTGCAGCCCAACGACAGATGACTCACTCCACTTGTAACTGCCCTGCTGCCTAGCTAGATGCAGCCTCTCAGGCTTTCCAGTTACCTTATCTGGTGGGAGAAACTTGATCATTTCCCTAGATTCTTTGCAAAGACTGGCATATTTTTTTGAAAAGCTTTAGTAATGGAGAATCTTTGCTCTTGAGGTGTTCACTTTTCGAAGTATGCTCAGATTACCCTTGTCACTGTCTTATGTAGAATTTTCCCTGGTTTAAAGGCTACTTATTCACAGCTTGTGGGCTGGGAGGGTCTTGTGTCTGGATAGAAAATGGTGATGCAAATTTTGATGGTAGCTAAGGAATGGAGAAGGGATGGAAATTAGAGGTAATAGTACTCATAGTAGTTAATGACTAAGTGGGTATGGGAATACAACAGATGAGTTTTGAATATTGGTAATTAAACAATGCTGATACCATCATCAGGGAAAATATATATAAGTCAATCTCTGATTTGTACTTTGAATCCAGTTACTTTTGTTTTATAAGATGAGATAAAGAACTCTTTCTGATTTTTTGCACTTTCCTGTTAAAATTTTGTTGTTGTTTCTCCATCTTTTGGCCAAGACCAAATCTACATTTACAAATGTTTTTGGCTATTTCAAGACTATGTTGAGTTTATTCTTTAACTTTCTTATTGGCAGACTACATAATCTTACTTACTAGTTTATTTAACCATTTGTATAAGCCATTTCCTTTAACCCTTTTATTGTATTTGTGATTGTCTTCTGAATCTCTTCCATGTTTCTACATAGCTCTCTGGATGTTTAATTCAGATTTGGTCATAATACCTCATCACAGTTACAGGTTAAGCAGTATTGATTTTGAATAAAGAATGGCACATCAAGTTTCTAAAAATCTGTGTACCTGTTTAACTATGCTAGTATAATGTTACGCTATACTGGTCACTGAGGGTCAGGTTGTCATGTTTTCTAATAAGCACTTTGAAAGATTTTGATAACATTTTGTGAAAGTTTCTAGCAAAGTGTTGATGGACTTCTAGGCAATATTCCTCCTTCTCTGGAAGGTAAAGGTCTTGACATTCATTTCTAATTAGAAAAGAATTTATCAAGGTCACAGTAAAAGATAAGTCAGAGGGGTTAGTAACACAAAGTCGGTGAACTCCTGAAGTTTTGGTATATGTATTTGGATTAATATTTTTCCAGATAGGGTCCAGGTATTTCATTCATTTTTCAATAATCCCCAATAATCTCAGGAAGTGGTTTTTTTAAATTTCAAGTTACAGAAGAAGAAACTGAGGCTCAGTAAGGTTGTATTACTCATCAGATATTTCATAGATAGCAAATTGCAGAGCCAGGATTTGAACCTAGTTGTGCATGTGTGTAAATTAAACTTTAAATACCATGTTTTTCCACTTAACACATCCTACTTAAAAGTTGAGCTGTAAAAAGTGGTTGTATTCTAGGAAAAGTCATGATAGGAAAACCAGGGAGGATTAAGAAATTTCAAAATGGTGTCCATGAATTATTTAGGCATACACAGGCTTTAGATCAGGAATCTTTAAGTTGGGGCTTTGGATTGAATTTGGAGGATCCATGAAGTTGGATGAAAAAGAAATCCAAATTTGTTTTAACTAATCACAATTTCTTTCAATTGTAGATGTAAAAAATAACCCACAGTAGTATTTGTGACTTTATAACCAATAGAAATCATAGATATTTTCATATCATATTACAGTTGTCACAGATATCTTAAAATAACATTTATACTCATAACCACTTCAAAATTATGGCAATTATTAAAGCCACCATTAGAGCTTGTTAATAAAAAAAAGTGCATTTATTACTATGTCACAAATTTGTGGGGGTTTTTTTCAGTATTTTGATGACATTAATGATTGTTTTTTCTTTGTAATGCCATGTATTTCCTTTCATTCATTTAAAAACATTATCCTGCGGGGTCCATAAGCTTCACCAGATTTCCAAAAAGCTCATGTAACAAACCCTGCTTTGGGCATTACATCATCATTTCATCATTTTCAAAGATATTTTTTTAGCATATTGAGCATGGGACATGCAGCTCAGGATTTCATACATATAATATTACTTATTGAAAAGGAAATTTATAAAAATCATTAATCATCTGTCTGGTAGAATGTGGACTTTTTGGCTTTCAGGAAATGTTTGTAGCTTCTTACTCTATTTTTTTTCTTTCATCACTAGTTATATTCTGTCATAATATATTCTGTATCGACCTGACAACTCTCTGAGCTGCCACAGAGATGGTTTGGTGTAGTATCTAAAAGCAAAAACTTGGAGACAATCCCGGTTCACATGCAAACTTCACCACTTAATAGTGCACAGGAAAGTGGCCTTGTGAAAGATACATGATAATCTCTAAACCTTAGTCTCTCCACCTGTAAAATGAGGATAAATAGGGTTGCTGTGAGGTATATATAAGACAAGAAATGTAAGCCAGTTAGCACAGCTTATGACAAATAATAACAATAATGTTCATTGGAGATGGACTTGCATATGGCTGACTACTCTTATACTCTCCATTCTAGTCTCTCTGAATCTCATGACCTACATAGTGATGGGAATCTTGGTAGAGACAACTTGGGTAAAGCTTTTGGCCTTATGGACTGGGGGACCAGAAAGAAGTGTCATGGAGCATGATGGTGAGATTTTTAATGTGACAGATCATTGCAAGAGTTTGAGATTCATGGACTCCAGGAGTAAAGATTAACATAGCCATTCATAAATGTACCTGGCCTTCTTGCTCCCAAGAGGTTAAGAAGAAACTAAGTATCTAGGCTGAGTCTGTCCCTCAGAGGAAACTTGGATACAAGGAGGCTTTGTCTTCCTCATGTCCTTGGCAAGATCTGGCAGCTCATCGGTGTATTTCCAATGTCTGCAGGACTACTAGCTTTTGGATTATGTTAATAATGAGTCCTGGGCCAAATGAGCCAACAAAGAAAAATGGCAACACATCTAGGGAATCCAGCATTCAGACGAGATCAATCAAAACAAAGAGTCACATATCTGATGAAATAGAACTCTAGCTAAACCAAACCAAACAAACCAAACAAACAGAGCCAACTGGGATGACACTGGTTGCCTAATGTAATTATATTCATCCTTTTTTATTCAGGGCAGAGTAACTCCCTCCCCAGGTGAATAATAATTGACCTAAGCTAATCATAAAGTTCCATTCCCCCTGTCAGTGATTAGTTTCAGCTTGGACAGATGCCCCATTCCTGGTCAGTTGCATCCCAGGGAACATCTAAGTGGAGGTTTCTGGTAAAAGTTCTCCTCACTAATAAAAAGAGACACACTAGTGGAAATCATTCCATTTTCACTGGATATTGTCCTGTCTGCCTGTGGTGTTTGGAATTGCTGCAGCCATTGTGTGGCCATGAGGGGAGGCCTCACTGACAGGATGAGGAGGACAAAGGAAAACACATTGGCCTTTATGAGGTAGTTGTACCATTTACTGGACCAACAGGGAGCCACATAAACATAGACTCCTTATTACATAAGTTAATAATTTTCTTAATTTTTAAGCCACTTTTATTTCCATCATCTCTTTCTTGCAGCTGAAATATAGTATCTGATACAATTAAAGGACTTCATGTCTAGCCTCTCCAAGAAGTGGAGATTTGAAAATATCATGATTTTGCGACTAAACAGTTGAGTAAGTAAATTGAAGGAGGCCACTGCTGACACCCCAATTGGAAGAAATATCTGAAAGCATGTAGTAAAAACAGAGGTCTATATCATGAACGAAAAATGGAGAGACTTGCAAAATAGTTTTGGGAGCCTTAACGTATAAAGAATAGATGTTAAAAAAAATTTTTTTTTTTTCTAACCTAAAGAAAGACTCAAGCCTGTGTAGTGGAAGAAAAATATATTTTTCCTATACCCTTTTAATCTTTCAACTGGGGTTCCTGTAACAAAAGGCAGATTAATAAGAGAAAAGCAAGCAAATTTTTTAGTATGTTTTACATGACACAAAAACCTTCATAAGGAGATGAAGACCCAAAGAAGTGGTTTAACCTGAGTTTTCCTGCTAGGTTTGATGAAGAGTGGAGACTCATGAAAAAATGTGATAGAATAAAAAAGGATATGAGCTAAGTGTTGCAGGTTGGGGGAAATAGTGAGGCCTGTTCGTTCCAATTTCTTTTCAGTGCTTTCTGAGTCTTGGAGATAAGGATGTTCCCTTTTTCCAGGTTTAGGCACAGCACCTCTCACATGAAGGTTTTATGACCTGCTTCAGGGGAGGGTCATGCCATTTCTCAAATGCCTAAAATATTCCATATGTCAAGCTGCTGTATTTTGGGGTAACATGTCCTGAACCCCATCACCTGCAGCTTGAACAGGTTCACCACATTCTATGTAGGCTTAATAAGAAGGCATAGGCACCTAAAGCCTAGCCTGATGACATTCCTGCACTTCAAGGATAAAGGGAGAATTGTATAAACTTCCAAATTCACAATAGAAGTGTCAGGTTAGTATTAGATTTCTCATTTGCAACCCTGGAATCTGGAAGATGGCAGGGTGAATGTGTAGAGATGAGGAGAGGAGGAAAGTGAGGAAAGTTTTCTAAAGGCTTTATCTCACATGGGTGGGAGGAAGGGGAAGCAGGAAAGGGAGGATAAAGCATCATGATTTGGAAAACAATGGGTCTTTCTGGAGGAAATTGTATCTTATAGGTAATGTTTTGTAGATAACTCAGTGTTGTGAGCGTAGACAAAGGGAAAGTGATGTAACAATGGGGAGAAAAATAGAATGCATAAGAATTTGGTCCAAACAGCAGAAACAAGGGGAAAACACAACTAAAATGAATAATAAATACAAAGTGAGATGAAAGGAAGATAGGTATGTGAGTTGTTTATTTTTAATTTAATTTAATTTAATTTAATTTAAATTCAATTAACTAACATATAGTGTATTATTAGTTTCAGAGGGAGAGTTCAGTGAGTCATGAGTTGTATATAACACCCGGGGCACGTTACATCACGTGCCCTCCTTCATGCCCATCTCCCAGTGACCCCATCCCCCCACCCACCTCCCCTCCAGCAACCTTCAGTTTGTTCCCTAGAGTTAAGAGTCTCTTATGGTTTGTCTCCCTCTCTGATTTCATCTTGTTTTATTTTCCCTCCCTTTTCCAATGATCCTGTGTTTTGTGTCTTAAAATTCTGCATATGAGTGAAATATGATAATTTAAGTTGTCAAATATCAACAAACTGATTCCCATAAAAGACAGAAATAGTCAGAAATTGAGTTCAAATCTAGCTATTTGGTACTTACAAAAACAAAGTACAAAGGAAGCTTGAAAATAAAGGGATTGTCAAAAAGACATTAGGCCAAAGCAAACAAAAAGGAAAGGAGAAATGGCCATACTACCATCAGACAAAGTAGAATTTAAGCTAAAAACACAAAAGGATAAAAAGGCAAATTATGTGATAATAAAAGGGCATTATTCATGAAGAGTATAGAGCAAACATAAGCCTGTAGGTATAAAATAACATAACAACTAAATGTATGAATCAGAATCTTTGAAAGAAAATTTAATTTTAAAATACAGAGTTATCATGGATAACTCCACTATGTCTCTTTCAGACTGAGGCATATGAGTAGTCAAAACTAAGTAAGGAGATAGAATAACCAAATAATACAATCAATAAACTTGATTTAGTAGATATATAAAGTATCTTTCAAATTTAAAAAATCCCTCAAACAGGGGCGCCTGAGTGGCTCAGTTGGTTAAGCGTCTGCCTTTGGCTCAGGTCATGATCCCAGGGTCCTGGGATTGAGTCCCTTATGGACTCCCTGCTCAATGGAGAGTCTGATTCTCCCTCTCCCTTTGCCCCCCCGCCTCGTGCACTCTCTCTCTCTCTTGCTTTCTCTCAAATAAATAAAATCTTTTAAAAAAATCCCTCAAATAAAAATGTAATTTTGTATTTTCATGGAACATTAAAAAGTAGATCATTTACTTGGCCACAAAGAAAATATTAATAAATTTTAGACAGCAGAGATTTTTATAGGCCATATTTTTATAATGATCCAATGAAATCAGCAATAAATATCTAACTCTATGGGATATGGTGAGCATTATATTTAGAAGAAGAAAATTTATAGCCTTGAATATCTTCATAATTAAAGGAAAAAAAGATGAAAAATAAAGGAACTTTATAAAAGGAACTATAAAAACTAGGGAGATGGAATAAAGATAATAGCTCAAGTAAATGAAATAGAAAACATTAAACAATTGTGGAGAGAAAAAGCGAACTCAAAAATGATTCTTTGAAAGATCAAAAAAAAATTAACTTGTAATGAACCCATTTAAGAAAAAAAAAAAAAAACCCAAGCAGAAATATTTATGAAAAGGAAAACCAGTAAGTAGATATTTGCCTTTCCTAATATAAGAACATGCTATGAAACCACAATAATAAAATTATATTTGTATAGAAATAGATAAGTACATCAGTGGAGCAGACTAGAGAATATATAAATAAATACCAGTTAAACATAGTATTTCAATTCTGTCAAGAATGGACAATTTAAATATTGTTGATGGCCCAGCTGCTCTTCCATTTGAGAGGAAATAAAATTGAAATATTATTTCATATACTGAAAGAAATTCCAGATGAATTGAAATCTAATGCAAAATAAGACAAAAATCCTGCACAAAATATAGAATATCATGTATGTAGTCCAGAGGCAGGGAGCTCTTAATAACCAAGGCCAGGAGCCCAGAAAGTGCAAAAGGAAGGGACTAAAAAATCATAAACAAGTCAATACAGAAGCAACAGATATAAAAGGATAATTATAATGCAAAGGCCATTAATTAACATCTGTAATATACAAAGAACAGTTACCAATTGCAAAGAAAAATAACGACAATAAATAACCCAATAGAAAAAAGAGCAAAGAATATGAAGATGCAAATCCCAGAAAAGCAAATAGCCAACAAACATTAAAAGTTGACTATCTTACAAATAGTCAATGAAATACAAATTTTGCTGAAATGAGCTACTGGCAATTATTTACTGGAAGTTTTTAAAAGCTGCAACACCTGTTACTGATGGAGGGTATGGAGAAAAGGGTATTCAACTGTATTTGTTTTGGAAAGCCATCTAGAAATATTTACTAAACGTAAAAATACATTTACCCTTTGACTTAGCAATCCTATTCCTAAGAATCTATCCCATAGGAAGAAAAGTTCTACCAGAGATAGGAGCATATGTGCAAGGTTGTTAAAACAGTATGTTTCATAGAGGAAAACAAGTGGAAACAAAGTCATTCTTGTCAGTGGGCGATGGTTGCACAGTGGACTATTATGCAGCTACAAGAACATTTACATTTATGTGTGTATGGATACCTAATATTTTGTACGGTTATAAGAACATGGACAAAAATGTGGTAGAACCCTTATTAGGTTGTTAACATAAGATTTCCTGAAGGATGAGGAAAAGGGCCAAAAAACTAGGGAAAAAGTTGCACTTAAAGTACGTATGATATATTCACATTTATGTGTTTACTTATGGTTAATACATGTGTGTATGACATTTTTAAATAGCAATGGGAGTTAAGCAACAAGGCATTAAAACAGTAATTAAGATATTGTGCAAGCCAGAAACTCAGGGCAATACCTGGAACTGAACAAATGGGAGCTGAGAGCAAATGGGAGGTAAAAATTATTTGTGTGGGAGAGACATTACAAATAAAAATGCACAAAAATAAAAAATAAAAACTGTTAAAGATCAAAGAGCTATTATATTGGCTCTTGATTTATACCTTAAGTCAAAGTACATGATTTTTAAAAATCTTTTATGTAGCACGAGACCTTGGCAAAATTCCCTCTAAAGGATTTCTCCTATGGGAGTTTTCTAATATGGGAAATATAATTCAAAATTAATTTTCACCTAGCTTTTAAGATCATGATTTTAATAATACATGATTGAGATTTAAAAAAAAATTTTTGTTATACTAAAAGGAGGCCAAATATCTAAATAAAAGGAGACTATATACTGTGACTACAGTGCTAGGGTACTTTATGTGTATGGATGTTGACCATGCCTTCCACAATTTTATGCTATTCAAACTAGAAAAGATCAAAGAAATCACATAGGTGTCCATGACATATTACCAAGAGATAGTAATCCATGTTATACTCTGGTCGGTAGTGATGAAGGAATAATAGGTGAGAGGTGATCTTTGTCAAAAAAGTCTGAAACAGAGACATTGATTTATTGTGTTATCATTTTCACAATTTTTATTAATACTTTCTTCAGCCCAAATTTGGTTCACTTATTCAACAAACATTTATTTAGTGCCTACTTAGTACTAAGTAGCTAAGTCTTGTGCCTGCAGCTTGCTTCATTTACAAGTAGTTTGGAGGGGTAAGACTTGAATATTACTGCACAACTAACAGAACGATATGTCAGCCTATAGGCCATGGTATATATTGTGGATGTGCTTAGACCTTTATGTAATATTACTCATTTGTTTCTTGTCATGATTGTCTAGGGCCAAATTAAAATATGTGTGAAGTACCATTCTACTTTGGCCAATTTCATCCATCTGAAATTCAACTTTTTTCATGTGATGACATCTAATTTTTAATGCATTAAACTTGCTAGTGGTCAGAATCAAAGCCATTGAAACTTTTGAATTGCAAAGGCCACTTGTACCCATGGGTCTTGCTTGATACAGGACCTTGGCTCCATAGAATGGTTTAGTTTCACCTCAAAGAGCTGTTAATATGAGGGGTATTAAGTGAGTTACCCTAGAAGGTCTTTAGAATGTAGGTAGGAATTTTAGATAGAGAGAAAACTGTCAGCCAGGTGCCAAAATCTTCAATAAATATTAGTAAATGACCTAGAGATTCTATACATAATTCTATAACAAAGACTTTTGTAACTGTGTATTTTAAAACAAAACAAGGATTATTTTTAAATCCCAGATTTCCAGAGTAACAAGAATGTGTATATAGAAAATTCATTCAATCAAAATTTATTAAATGCTAGGCACCCTTCTGGGCACTTTGAATGCATCAGGAACAAAAGAATTATCTCTGCCAATGTGGAGCTTACATTCTGGTTGGGGAAATACAGACAATAAACAGAAAAATTTAGAAGCAGTAAGTTATAGAGTATTAGAATGTGAGTGAAAAAGAAGAGCAGAATAATGGGGATTGAGCCTAAGCAAAAGATTTTCGTAAAGGCCTTTAAAAAGAACAAATAGCTATCAGAGTATGCCTTGGTTTGATGTAGTTTGCTTCATGCCTTTTTGATGTAGTTTATTAAAAAATTTTAATATGTTACAGGATGTACAGTGTTTAATACATTGCTTCAACTTTGCCATGTGTCTGCTATAAGGGCAGAACATCTTTTGTTGTTTTGTTCTAAAATATTTGTGTTTAAAAGCTTTTCTGAGTAATCTGTTCTGTTTCAAAATATTTTTTTCAAGATGGGTTGTCAGAAATTTAAATCCTAGTAGGTGAACTAAGTTTTGATGCATCATAAAAAGGTGATGTAGACCAGTGAAGGATCATACATTTATGAAAATAAGGAAGTGTTTTATTGTAGCACTTAAAAGTATATAATAGAAAAACAATCTAAAGCCTATTCAGAAATTTAGAGAGATGTCAGTTAGAGAAAAATATCAGGAGGAAAATTAGATAAGTAAAAGAATTTTAACACTTAGCTCCCTCAGAAGAAGTAATCTTACATTTTTAACAGGCACATATATTTAAGAGAGAAATTACTTGAAATTTTTGATGGGTACCCAACTAAAGAATGTGAATAATGGTTTTACAGTCCCCAGTGATGCTATGTGGTGAATAGACCTAATTCAGGACTGCAGTTGAATGGAGCATTATTTCACTGTTGGTCTGGATTGCATGTCGCTGAGAATAGACTCTGTATTTTTTTTTTGAATTTCCCTCCTGGTATTCTTAAGGTCAGCTAAGCACAGTAAATAATCTTCACTCAGCAAGCAACCCAAATCACCATCCTCCTGTTCGATGTAGCTAATAAATTCTGAGCAAACTCAACTCTCTGTGAAGCTTCCTAATGGATGCCTCACTGGACTGAAGAGCTTTTGGAAGCAAAATAAAATAATCATCTAAAGTTGAATGTTTTTGGATCAAGGTTACTAGGTCAACACTAAATATAAAACCAGTTTGAGAGACATTTTTTAATGGCACTTAGAAATTATAGCCAAAGGTCAGGTTGTTACATGTGATGTTGCTCAGATCCTTTGATGTTGAAAGTCTACAACTGACTTATGTGTAAGATATACTTTTTTAAAACATTAACTATGATTTAAAGTAGCAAGAGACAGTGTTCAGGCAGGGAAAATAAAGTCCCCTTCCTCAGTTTTTTGGTTGAAATGGTTTGAGCTCAGTAATTTCATTGAACTTGAAAAAAAAATTATTAATACCTGCCTCCTCAAAGGGAAACAGGGAAGCTTGTCCCTGTCAATTACTTCTTAGGAGTTTCTGAGATATTTTGCGATTGCAAGAAAACTATGGATGAAATCCATACCAATTAGAGATCTTGTGTGTTTGGAACCATTCAAAAATGCTGTGCAGGGCTCAAAGGAATTAGTAAAGCCTGCTGCAGTGCAGCTACATTATTAATCTCCAAAGAGAATAGATACCAGATGCTCACACTGCCCAAAGGACACCTCAGTGTTCTTGACAGTCTCTGGTCATATTGTCCTTCAGTAGATTCAAATGCCTGAAATGATTATGGGTCATGGGATGACGTGGTTTGTAGAGAAGAAATTACTAATAATCAGTTTGAAGAAATGTACTATTTTTGATAGGCAGGAAAGGAAACCTTATATTCAATTTGATACTTGTAAAAAAAAATTGCCTAGAGAGAAATAGTAGAAACTCTTTCCCTATCTTTTTAAAATTTCATTGACTGGCCTAGTGATTGGCACATCTAACCCAAGTGATAATCTCTTAATGCAGTCCAGTTCTGTTGTTAAATGGTTGAGGTATGATATATTCTTTATTAATTAAGTCATTGAACAAATATTTTTATCAGTGAAGTGTTGACGCTAGAATAGTAAACAAAGCAGTCATGGTCTCGTGGAGTTTAGGGAAAGAAGTGGGCATTAATCAAAAATTACCCATATAAATAAGTAATTACAAACTGTGACATGCTTTGAAGAGAAAATATTGGGTGCTGTGAGCATGTTTGACAGGGGAACTTGACCTAGAGTTAAAGTTCTGGATTCATTTGTTTAATCATATTTATTGAGCGCCTACTTTGTGCCAAAAGGCAAAACAGATTACCACGGCCATTTAAAATATGACGCTCATTACTCTCAGTTTGGTAGATTAAGGGACAGTAGGAGCGATAGCAATGAACAACATAAAAATAAATTAAAGCTAAAAAAGATTCTAGGGATGGAATTTTATTTTAGTCTTTTTTCAGACATAGCTTCTGTCCAATATCCTAAGGAGCATTTGAGCAATGCTTAAGATTTTTAGCATGTCTAAAAATTTTCATATTACTCATTTTATTTGAAAGTTCCGTGAGAAAATACTGTAAAATTTTAAACCTGTGGAAAGCAGAGAGTGGTGGAATTGGTGGGAGGGACCCCAGGATCCGAGTATGTTCGCATAAATAGCATTATGCTCTCCTGCGAGTCGTCAACCTGCTCTACCTTCCTTCCCTGCCAGGCTTTGTGAAGAGCAGTCTTTAGTCATGCCACTTCACAAACGCCTTGCAGCCCAATAGAGTTTGGCTTCTGTCCATCACACTGAAATGGATCTTCCTAAAGTCCACCAGGCTGCCTAACTGTTGAATTCAGCCGTCTCCTCTCCGATCTTATTTGACTTGTCCTTTCTGTAGATTATGTCACTGGGGACTGTCCTCCAGCCTCAAACACTTTTCCATGATCTGACTCTGTCTCGGTTCCCTTGTCGTCCTCCTATTTCTTGAAATGCTCTCTTTTATTTTCCTTCACTGACTCTTATTCCTCGGCTCACCTTTTAAATACCTGTCTGGTTCTCCACTCCCCTTATATTTGCCTTCTACATATCCTCATCCATAACCTTACTGTTCTCTATGCTCTGATGACTTTCACATCTGTATCTTTAGCTGGGGTCTCACTTCTGAGCCCACACATCCCTCTGCTCCTAGAGAGTTCCATACTAGTCGGGTTTTATTATTTTCCCTGAAAAACATGTATAACTAGCATGATCCAGTGAGTCGTACAAACTGGAAACCTAGTAGTAATTTGACCCTACCTTTCTCCTTCACTCCCCAATAGGCACCACCACAATCAGTGAGTTCTGACTGCTTAGTCTCTCTCTAATCACTCTCCTGCTCTCCAGCCCCATTGCACATGCTGCATTTAGAGCTTCACCCCTTCTGTTTCCACAGTCTTCCATCTGATGTTCCTGTTTTCATCCTTCTATCTCCCACCCTCCAGCCTGCTTCCAGAACCATCTTCCTAAAGCACCAATCTGATCACGTTACTAGTCTGCTTCAGGTGGCCCCCAGTCATCGTGCCATCGTTCAGCATGTCCCTGGCATTCAAAATGCCACGGCCACTTAAAACTATGGGGTACTTGACAAGACGAAAAAGCAAGGTAATTAGTAACCAAAATAAAATTAATGCTTGAATAGTATATTGCACTGTAGCATTTTTTTTTTTTTTTTTTGTCTTCTTGAATTTTTGGAGTCTATAGATCTAGGCTAATTTTATGTATTCTAACCCCCCTGCTTTTCTTTTCCTTTTTTTTTTTTTTTTAAAACTCCCTGCTTTTCAAGATAAGTGTTTTAAGTATTGTTTTTATTTGAGGTACTGCTTAATAAAGCTGAATGGAGCATGGGAGAATGTGTGCCAAAACCAATGGTTTTCTTTTTGTCATAATTACTGTTAAACCATTTTATTGACTATAATAGTTTGCCCCTTGAGACTTACTGCTTGTTTGCAGTAATGAAATCGTGTCATCAGCATATAGGGGGATACTTGTCCTTATATTGGCAGTGGCAGGAAGGCAGAAATATAGTGCATCCTTACACTATAACAAATGATCAAATATAGAGTTGAGAAGTGGTCTATGGGGCGCCTGGGTGGCTCAGTCGGTTAAGTGTCTGTCTTTGGCTCAGGTTATGATCCCAGGGTCCTGGGATCGAGTCCCACACCGGGCTCCCTGCTCAGCGGGAGTCTGCTTCTTCCTTACTCTCCCCCCTGCTTGTGATCTCTCTCTCTTTCAAATAATAAAATCTGTAAGAAAGAAAAGAAAAAAGAAAAGAGGTCTATGAAGTTTTTTCCACCGAACCAGTTCTGGGAGGAGCCTACTCTGGCTTGCCGTGGTTCTAACTCAGGGGTCTTTGCAGATGTCATACTCTCATGCAGTTAGCCCAGAATCACTTTTTAGATAGAGTCAAATCTGAGCCAGTTAAAGCTCCTAAACCTTACACTGATTTTGGGTCTTATCAGTAAGGCAAAAAATTATATAATTGTGGTTAATAGAAAAATTATGATGCCTGAAATCCATTCCTGCTTCTCATAAAATATTAGATCAAGAGACTAAAATCTGTAGTTTATTAAAAAGAAATCTCGGCCTCTTGTTCAAGATGATAGACTGAGCATACATGTTTGCTTCCCTCTCTCCCAAGAGAACCCTTTAAAGTGAGAGTAAGGAAAAGAAGAAAGAGGAGGAGGAGGAAGCAGAAGGGAAGGAGGAGAACCCCACTGCAAAGAGAACTGGAGTGGAGGAGGGGGTGTTGAGCAGACCAGAAATTTTAGCCAATTTTTCCAAGAAAAAAAATGGCTGACAATGCATTACGGGGTGACCACCTGTAATGCAGGACCGATTAAAGAAAGTGGCAGCCCAAAGTACATACAGGGGTTGTTGCCAAGATGCCCAGCAGAATTATGAAGGGGCTCAAAGTGCAGAATTGTCAAGAGCAAAATGGGGGGTTGACAACAAGGTGTTTAACTGAAAAAAACAGCTAGACCAGTTTTGCAGCTTCCTCACTTTCATATTTAGAATGACAGATCATCAATTACCCACAGGGAAAAAAACCTGGAAGACTGCTCTCAAAAGATATGAAACAGCCTGTCTGGGAGAACTGGGGCTGCCAGTGAGGTGTTGTGCTCTAGAGTGAGCCATTGCCCAGGCAGGTATCCAGGAAATGCTGGGACAGACCTTTGTCCTGCAGCAGATGATGACAGTGTTCCCAGAGCTCCCCGTCATCTTTTCTGTTCAGAGTTGAGACCTAGTGAGGAATAAACCCGCGCTGTACCTGATTGCAGAGGAAGCCCCCGTCAGCTGCCTGGGACAACTGCCCCAGACCTCCATTCTTAAATAGAAATGGCTGAACAAAAAAAAAAACCAAGAGCATGGAAGACACAAACCAAGAAAAAGAGAACAGTTGCATGAGAGGCAGCAGAGCTATTTTAGACAACAACAGAAAAACCAAAGTAAAACAACTCTCTGGTTCATATTCTCAGAGATATTTGAAATAGTTCATTTATAAAATAAGAAGATGATGCTGTAAAAAAGACCAGAAAAGTTTAGAGACCAGGAATAATGTGAAAAAAAACAGGTTGCCAAAAGATACTGAGGATGCAACGTCATTCATGTGAATTTTTAACATTTAAAACATTATATATTGTTTATGAATGTAGACATATGTAGAAAATGAATCAAAAGAAGTGTGGGAAGGGTACGTAAACAATTATCTCTGGGGCACCAGGAAGTGTAGGAGTAGGGGAGAAGGCTGGAGGCAGATCTGGCTATAATTGTAACATGTTATTTTGTTAGAAAAAGAGAAAAATCTGAGACAATATAGAAAAAATATTATCAGTTAAACTTGGGTAGTTAATATCTGTTAAAACATGGATGCCTATGTATTCTACATATTTTTACATATGGTTGAAATATTTGTAATTAAAATTCGAAAAGTAAAATGTTGAATTACAGAGGAAATTTGTACAATTGTATAAGAAAGTCATGGTCCAAACAAAAAAATAAAAGAACACGTGGCCTGCCTTTTTTATAGTGATGCAGTGTAAAAGAAGGAAAATCTGTTTGACTTTAGGCAGCCTGGGGTTATGCCAGTTGGACTGTTGGAGAAGGAGATACAATCCCAGCAGTCTTTAGCTGTGCAGTAAGCAACATGTATGTAGCCATAATAATACTAACGTCATTTACTAGTTTTCAAGTCTTAGAATCAACCCATAGAAAAGCATAGAAGACTTCATTAAGGTTGGGCATTAGAATGGGGGAAAAGAGTAGGTAGAAGGAGGATGGGGTGCCAAGGCCGTCTTGCAGACTGAAGGGTCCGACGATGTTAAGCTATAGGATAGTCATACATTCGTGTGTTCATCCATCAGACAGTTTCTGCAACACCTCTTCTGTCTCAGGCACTGTTTTAGGTGATTGGCAATACACTGGTGGACAAAACTGACAAACTCTCCACTCTTATTGAACTTACGGTCTAGTTCAAGAGGCACATGGTACCAAACAAAGTTTTAAAAGAATTAAAAATAATATAACTATCAAAAATTGCAAGGGGGAAGGGAAGAGAGATTAGTGGAAGTGTGGAGGCTTAGTCTTCATCGTTGACAGGAGGGAATCAATTTGTAATGTCAAACCAGCACTGTCCGATGGTGGGGATTTCTCTGTCTGTGGAAATGATGTTGGAAATATTCTCTACCTGTAGTGCCTGTGTTGTCCAGTGTAGTGACCATTCACTACATGTAACTGTTGAGAACTTGAAATGTGGCTAGTATGACTGAAGAGCTGAAATTCTATTTAATTTTAATTGATTTAAACTTAAATTGCAGCATGTGGCTTATAGCTTCTGTATTGGATAGTGCAGATTTAAAATGAAGGAATCAAGAGGGAGCGGCAGAAGCATATTTTTTAGAATTAAACCTAAAACCTGTTAATAAACATGGTTGTTTGCAGGGGTGGGAAATATTGAAAGGGAACATTTCACTATGAGTCATCTTGCACTCTTTGATTTTCTACAACATGCATATATTTGGTTGATTACTACTTAAACTTTTGGGTCTTTGAGGGGGAATAGAGTATCATCCTTTTAAGAATGAGATAAAAGCTAATGCTTGAAGTGTCGAATCGCAGTGAATAAAGGGGCAAGAATCAGAGCTCTAAACTTCAAACAATTCTTGTTAGCAGGGGGTCTTCGCAAAATGTTGTCTTATTTGGTTGAGGTAGCTAATAAGGTAAATCATGGTCAGTGAGGTTAACAGATCCTGGCTTCAGAGATACTAAAAGCTACAAGTTCTGAAACACGGTCCTAGAATCATAGAGCTGTGAGAATTGGTACATGCAGAAAACCACAGGTCTGTAAATGTCCCGTGTGTCTCACTGAAACCACGCTCAAATATTTATCATTATTAAACCATCACCCGAGCCCAAGTGGAATTTACTGTGCTCAAACTGATTTTGCATTTGAAGATAATAAAATGTTTGTAATTACATTTCAATTTAATGAATTCTCGGGCACGGGTATTTTCTGCCGTGTTCTACTGATGGGTCACGTAGCTAATTTACTGGGGTTTCTCATTTTTATTTGGGGGTTGGGGGACGATCCAGGGAATGTGGCAGCTGTATAGCAAATCCTTGTTAAATTAAGAGTAGGGAAAGAAGGGCCACATTTTCTAGATATGGTACAGATGGGATTGGCTTCAACTTGTTTATAACCTGTTGCTAGTTTTAACAACTTGTTTCAAAGATTTTTGAAAGGAAGGAGGAAAAGGTTGGGATGGAGAGAAGAGCAAGTTTTTCTCAGGAGGCAGTTGGAGTGAAACATTTAAAGTGTGTCAGCAGAAAACCACCTGTGGAAAGCTGTATCACTGTTCAGGGATGGGTTCGAGGAGATTCTGAGCAGCTTTAGTAAGCCCCATTCTGAGTGAGAAGGAATAATTCTTTTTACTGCAATCTAAAAAAAAAAAAAAAAAAAAAAAAACCACCCTAGTGTAGAGGGTAGCAAGCGCCAAAGATCTACTACTAACAAACGGAATCACTTGCTCTTATATTTGAGATGTAAATAAACATATCCTGGATTTGCTGCCCATTATGCCAATACTGTCAAGGGCCTTCTGCCCATTAGTGTGGCCCGATGGTCGTTGGGTCACACGGGAGCAGGACTGCCGACAGCCCCACGCAGCTGTTGTGCTTGGGCTACCTGTATTTATATGCTGTCTGCAGATGAGGATTCGTTGAGAGGAGAATCTATTTATTGAATACAAGACATTCCCGATAACAACAGGCTAATATCTAAAAAGTACAGCTTATATTTTTAGAAATAAAACGATAATACCCCCCAATCTGAGCTCATCACATAGAAACAAAGGGATGTCTTGGGGGTGGGGTGAGCCAACTCTGTTTATCCAGGTTTTCGAATGACTGTTCTTTCAAAAAGTGCATGGAATGCATCCAAAACAAATAATGTTTTGTTAGATGAGAAGACCAAAAGGGAAATCCTAAAGAAAGGAGGATGGATGATCTTTCTTTAATGTCAAAACTGACATAAACACATCCCCTCCCCCTTTTGCTCAAGATAATTTTCTCAACAAGACCCAGATTGCTTCAGTCTTGCCTATCACTCTTTGAAGCACTTCCCTTATTATTTGGAGTGGAGGCAGGGTTTCCTTTGAGGATTTTTGCAGCAGTGAAGAGTTCCTCCTTTAAATACTTTCACATGATGAGGGAATTCCGCTTTCAAAGTGCTGTCATCTCTTGGCTTCTCTGCCATGAGACAATTTATTCTTGGGTGAAGGTCCTTCTTCGTTTGATTGTCAATAAGGACTTGCTTTTCTGATGGATTCTCCTTCAGCTTTATCTGGGAGACCTAGAGAAAAAAATTCAATGTTCTCCTGTGTTAAACTTATTGAAGTTGGCCATGATTCTCTTTTGAAACGTGTTCCATCACATGGGGTTACTTATAGTCTTCAACATGGTTGCCCTTGTCAATCTCCACTAAGATTTGGATGACCTATCAAATATTCCATCTTGAAAACTGCCTTTCTCTTACTGCGCAGAGAGACACTGAATTTGGGGAAGTTTTGAAGAGAATTTTTTTTTTTTTGGTTGGTTTTTTAGTGTTTCTTCTGATATTTAACCAACGCCATGGGAAACAACCAATAAACTATTCAAGTGTCAACAGTTTTCCCAGAAACATTGAAATCTTTTGAGAACCCCAACTCCATGTCACTACACCTCATCCTTGTCTGCTCTTGAATATAGTCTTCTGGAAAATTCTATAAATATTTAATTCATGGAGACAAAATGTATAGCTGTATAATTTAATAGCTCATTTGAAAGCAGTTCCCTTCCCTCCCCCAAATTTTTAATAGGCAATGATTCACAATAGTTAGGAAAGAATTAGAATGAAGAAACCCCAAATAGAAATGACAGTTTTCTCAATATTATTACCTAAGGTGAGCTTCTAAGTATTTGTGGTTATTTTAGATAAATGAATAAATATTATCCATGTCCCAAAGTAGATTACGTCATTTATGTCATTACTCTTGGACTTTCTCTTTGAACAGTTTGGTTGTTAGTGAGAGAATCAGTATTGTTGAGGATACATTCATTATCTGCTTCCACCTAGAAGCTCCTAAGTGCAACGATGTACCTACCAACCAATCTAGACATGGCACTAAACGTATTTCTTAAAACCTACAATCTCCTTCGTATTATAGTATTGAAATGAATGATGTCTTGACCTCGTATTGAGGAAGAAAGTGGAATGTGAGAAGAGAACCCTAGACTAAAGTCAGAATACACAGATTCTAGCTTTGGCCCTGCCACGTACTGACTGTGTAATATTGGCAAGTACCATACCCTTCGGCTCCCTCTCCCTCTCCTCCTCACAAAAAATCCTAAGTTAGTGACCTAGATGGTCTTCATGCATTTACCATCCTAAGTAAATAATAAGCTTACTCTACCTATAAAGAGAAGCTTAATTATGGTGTTTGAGCCAAGTTGAATACTCCAGTGAAAAAATAGCATCGCTAATTTCTTAATCTATTCTGTAAAAAAGGAATGTGATTATATTTTCTGTCTCCTGTGGGACTCTGTGCTGTACCGTAATTATCCATCCCGTCTTCTTGTTTATGCAGACTCTGCCTTAAAAGTGTTTACCATCTAGTGAGGAAAGCATGGAAACAAGTCAAAAATCCAGTATGATAAGTAGAACAAGATAAGTGTATATAATATGAAGAAGTAGCATGGGAGGAGGGAATATATATTTTATATACATTTCTCCCTACCTATTCTGAATTCTAGAAATAGGAAAATGTATGTGTGTTGGAGGGTAGCTTTATGGAAAATTAAAAAATAAATTCCTAACTCTTTACCTGTTTACTACCAAATCAAATATGTCCCTCCATAATATTAGTTGCCATAACCAGCAATCAAATGAGTTATAGCATGGAAGGTTAAAAAATATAGAATGTTCTCTTTTGTTTCATAGCTAAATTATTTTTTAATGTCTTCAAACATCACCTTTAAACCTCTCTTTTCTAGCCATTGGCACTTCTGCCATTGAACAAAGAAGAATACGTAAATGTGCCAAGTAGTCATTGTAAACCCAAAACTGTAGCGTAGAATATGTTTAGATTCTCTTTACAATTTAGAAAACAGGGAAAAACAAGTTTTCTTAAGAGTACTGGTGTGTCTTGGTGTGATTGTTTTTCGAGGAATGTTATCTTATATCTAGAAAATTAAGGTTTTCCTGGTGATTTGTAGCTATCTTGAACTCAAATCGGGGAATGGGAAAGTGTTTCAACTCTGGGTGTTAAATCCAGCACCAACTGTGAAAGTTATACTGTTGCCTAGTGGGGAGTGGGGGGTTTAGAGGAGTTTCTTATCAAAACTTGGCCTGAGCTAATTTGTTTTGTTTGAAACTGGAAATCAAATTGTTGAAGTTTGCATTCTGTTTTCTTTCAGTTGGTGTATTAACACAAAGCACCGTATTTTTAAAGGGCTTCCTCCTTTCTACAGGAATAAATTTGGCTTCTGGAAGAGGAAAAAAAAAAAAACAAAACTGTACCAGCAGTTCGGCAACATCACACCTCTTCCATCATTTTGGGCTTCAGCTCAGGAACTCCCGACAAATGTTCTGGAAATATGTAAAAACATGCCTAGAAGTACTGAACATAAAACCTGACTGTACACTCATAAACATTTGTACAATCTTATGGTCCTTATCACTGAGTTTCTTAAAGCCGTGTGTGCATATTTAAAAAATCATTTGAATAAATTAAAATTGGAACAAGATGCTATTTGAGAGAAGGTGCTCCCTAGAGATGCCTGAAGAACACTGCTCTATGACTTTCTTCTAGGAAGTAAGCAAGCCTCTTGCCCATAAAATAGAAGCTGCTTTCCAGATAGCCCTGTCCCAAGAAATTAGATTAAGATGGAAACTATGGAATAGTCATTTTTTTAATATTTTAACAAACTAAGTACTGAAAAAGCATGCTTCCTAAAGAGGCATGGAAAGTTGAAAAGTTAACAGCCAGAACAATTGTAATAAATCAATCCTTTAAAAATAAATCTTAAAAAAGAAAAAAAAAGCGGTGGGGGTGGGGCACCCAAGTGGCTCAGTTGGTTGGGTGTCTGACTCTTGGTATGGGCTCAGGTCATGATTTTGGGGTCCTGGGATCCAGCCCTGTGTCAGGCTCCGTGCTCAGCGGGGGTCTGTTTGAGGATTTCTCTCTTTCTCTCCCTCTGTCCCTCTCCCCATGGCACATGCGTGTGCGTGCGCGTGCTCTCTCTCTCTCTCAAATAAATAAACAAATTTTTAAATTAAAAAAAAAACAACTGGATTGTGTTTTGGAAAATGTCACACTGTTAAGACTCCTAGTGGGTGCCCAGTGACTCTGAAGATGAGAGACAAGACCAAGTGGTAAGAGAGAGCTTTATAAATCCAGAGGCACTCTAGAAAACTACTGGGTGGTCTAAGAATGCTTCTTGAAACATAAACTCCCAATGCAACTGTGATCTGAATGTGAGGAGAAAGTTATTCTTAAAAAAGAGTTGTACTCTTAGGAAATATATTATCCTTCAGCTTTTGACCTTTTTTTTTCAGGTTGAAGAAGTTAAGCATGATTCATATACTAAAGATTTTCATTCTTTGCTTAGTAGTTCTTTAAAATTATATTCTAACCCAAGGCTGTCTCTCTGTCCTGTTTTGTTCTGGTGCTGCTCTGCCCCAGGTTGGCCTTCATTCCACGATGTGATCAGTTCTGATGCAATCACATTCACGGACGACTTTTCCTACGGGATGCACAGGGTGGAAACGAGCTGCTCTCAGGTCAGTTAATGTCACCCGAAAACCCACTATGCTGCTCGTTCTGCATGGCAAACACTTTCTGGACTCCTGGTTGTGCTAAATATAGCAACTAAGTCCAAGTGACTGATCACAAAAGGGACGGACGAGCACAATGAAGTCTCTATAAAGTAATGATAGCTCAGTCTTCAGGTGTTCAGCAAGTCCAATTGAATGCCCGTCATCGGCTTCAACACTATTAAAAAAAAAAAAGAACCGTAGGAAAAATCATCTTCAGTCGAATGAGTACAGCAGGGAATGGGCTGTTCTTAGGGCATAGGAAGGTCTCATTATGTGGCTTTGTATAATCTGATATTTAGAGAATACCCCTCTCCCCGCAGTTCTGTGCACGTGTTGTTCAGCTGTGATGATCTCAACATGGTCGGCCAAGACCCCAGAGACAGCTTTCCCTGTGTGGGTGTGGGGGGGGGGGAGGTTGGAGAATGGGCAGTGGGAAGAGGAGGCACAGTGGTAGGCTGTACGAGCTCAGAGTGAGGATACGTGATAAGGTAACGCCTCCTCTACTTCCCCTAGTATATGGACCCGTGTTCATTTCCAAGGATGTTCCAATTAGTTCCTGTCACTCTGCTCTAACCGAATTAGGGCAGGCTCTATGGGAGAAAATGAGTATGTGTTGAGGAGGCAAAGATAGTTAATCTGTTATGCCAATGAAGAGACTTGAACTTGTGGGCATTTTGTATTTAAACTCAGAGACATAGGCAGAACCTTCTGTACACAGAATAAGAGCAACTGCACATTCCATTCTACACTTGATCTTAGCCAAAAGGCCGAGAAGCGATTCCATTCTAGAGTAGGCAGTCCTGTTCTAATCTGCTTTACGTAAGTGAGATGTAAAGTCTGAGTGCGGTGGCACAGAGTAGTTTGTTGGGGGATGTCTGTTGCACATATCAGAGGTAAAGGGGACACCATCAGGCAGCTGAAACAGCAAAGTGATTGCCACGTGGGCCTCCCTCAACATTCTTCTACCTGCCCTTTAACCCCCTTCATCACGCACAGGAGTTTTAGGGAGTAAGTGACATATTTACTACCAAGTAGGGAGGGCGATTGGTTAGAAGCTAACCATCTGATGAATTTGTGTTCTCTTTCTTTCTTTCTTACACTTGTGTAAATCTACATCGATTCAAGCAGCAGAGCTGAGACTCGAACTTGGGCATTGAGCTCCAGAGCTCTAGGGTGCTTGGATAGATAGGCCATAAAGAGTCATGTTAAAACAAAAAAATCCTATGTTCTCTAGCAGGTTTAATTTAATTCAGGTTTGAATTCAGTTGCATTTCAATTGATATTTTTATTACTGCCACAAAAACTAGTTATAATTATTTCCCCAGGAATTTAAAATATTCGACAAAAACGTAACTGGGTAGGATGGTACATGGTAATGTATATTTTGGTATGTAGTACTTAATAAACCTCTTTTAGGACTAACAGTTGTGTTTTGTTTTAAGCTGCCTTAAAGGCTGTTCTTTGACTGCTACTCTCCCTTTTATTCAGAACCCACTTTCAAACATTGAGTCCCAGGAGAACCAAATAAAAAAGGCACAGAAAATGTGAGGCGTAAGATAATAACTTTCCTTAATGCCCTAGTCTCTGACGCTCTGTGACTAATTCTTAAAATTCACAGAGTAAACTTGGTCCTTTCTCTGTGCCAGCCATAGAGATAATATTAGTCGTGGTCAAGAAAAGACCATTATGAAGATGAAGGGGTTCTACAGTGACCAAAGAGAAATGAAACCTACAAGCTGCCCAAATCAGGCAACATTAAAAAAAAAAGGTATTAAGCTAAACAAGGCACAGCTCTCAGCCCTTTGGTCAAAGGCCTGAGTGACTGTCACTATACTTGGGGTCTTTTCTGAATGGTTGGGTGAGGAACTAACACCTACCTATCCCTTCTGGCTTCTTTCCCCACCACCTTTATTTCTCATATTTGGAAAGCATGTGACTCTTTCTTAAATAAAAGTCTTCTCTTTAAAGAGAAGAGGGAGGGAAATTTGTTCTATTAAGGCATGTGTAAAAATACATGCTCTGTGAAGTTTCATGGAGAAAATAATCAGGTTCGAGCACTAAAGAAAGACGTGTTTGCTGGATTCTTCTCCCTGTGGACAGAGTGGGGCATGTCTGCCTCGCGAGAGCAGTAATAACTCACTAAAAGTGTGCTGGGTGTCTGTCTGTCTGTCTGTCTTCTTTCCTTCCTTTCTTTCTTTTGTGTGTGTTTCATCCACACATTTATTTTCCTTTTGTTCTACATTTTTCTTGACTTTTTTCTTTTCCATTTTCTCATTCATCTTTATTTTTTTAAGATTTATTAATTTGACAGAGAGAGACACAGCGAGAGAGGGAACACAGCAGGGGGAGTGGGAGAGGGAGAAGCAGGTTTCCCGCGGAGCAGGGAGCCTGATGCGGGGCTCAATCCCAGGCCCCTGGGATCATGACCTGAGCTGAAGGTAGAGACTTCTTCAGGTGCACCTCATTTATCCTTTTCATCTCAACTTGGAAAAAAAAATAACTGACTTAATGGTTTCCATACTAGAGTAAACACTTGTATTTTGTTTTCTGGTTTCTGATTCTTAATGCTACTTTTCATAAGTTTATCTTTTTTTTTTTTTAACCTTCTATTCGTTCAGTTTATGTAGTCTCTTCCCCTACTCACAGCTTCTCCCATCATTTTGGGGGGGAAGTGGTGTAGGAAACTTCACTCTGATCTGCTTCTCCTCTTTCTAAAATTCTTGTTCCATTTTGAATTCACATGGCTTGTCCTCTCTGGACTGAATTGCAACAATGTGGTTTGTCTGATGAAGAATCTGTTAGATGCCCTAGGTATCTCATAGACGTTCTCAGACAAAACCGTAGGCTCAACCTACTTGCTTGGCCTTTTTTTTTTTTTTTTTTTTTTGGTCTGTTGGTCCGTAATTCTTACTCCAGTATTTAGGATTCTTCTTCTTTTTCTTTTCTTTCTTTCTTTCTTTTTTTAAATTGTGATATGGATCATGCTATGCAGTGAATTAGACCTCATATTTGGGTAAGGGATTATAAATGTGTTGGGAGCCATAATTTACCACCTCTTTATACTACCCTGTAGTTTTTCCACATGTCCCGTGACTTCTTCAGGTAATAATACTTTAGTAAAATTTTGCTGAGAAAGTTAAGATTGATTCAGTACTGATCACTTTTCAGAGAAAGAGTGCAGTCAGGTCCTTCTAAAAGAACTGCTGTGTAAGAAACCTAGCACACTGCCTCATCTTTAAGTTAACAGCACAGAAAACGAGCAAGGGTGGTGGAGATTCTTCGGTGCCTTCCGTTAGGATTCCTGCTTGTGGAGGAAATAGGTTGCCCTGTTACATTCTGATTTTTGTTGTAACCGTATTTGTTTGCTTTTCCTATTCTACCCGCTGAATTGCGGAATTATATTCTAATTAACTCTTTCAAAGAGGGTCTTTATCTTAAATCTGTCCACTTTAGTATCTCCCCCCCCCACTAGCTATGGCAATTTTCTAACAATTTGCAGTTATAAAGAGTTTTTTTAAGTTTTATTTACACTTTTCAGCTAGTGATAAAATATGTCGAGTCTGTCCCAGTTTCACTGACTACTATGAATAATTGTTTGACAGCTTCTCCCTAATTGTCCAACCCCAGCCTGCTAAGCAGTGCTTTGTCAAGAGTTTAAATTCAGAGCAAAGAGGTAAGAGTTGCATGGTTTAAGCTGTAGTTCAGAGAAGTAAGCCCCTCCTGGTAATACTTGGGGAATTCTTCCTTCTTTAGATGAAAATTCTACATCTGCAGCAAATGGGAGACCAATAAATCACTTAACTTTGGAAATCATCTTTAAGGAAACCATGAGATCCCTGAGTTTACGCGAGTTGGAGTCTATTTTTGCCTGTTGCTATTACTAGCTGGAATCTACGGTGGAGTCCCTTAAGTTTGTTTTAGATCGTTATTAATTTGTTCTAAGGCAGCCAAATCAGCAGAAAGGTAAATATCCACCCATACACGGTATTTTTCAAAAGTTAAGCAGATTTTGGTAAAACCCCAAACCTTATTAATCTTTTGCAGATGACAACTCATATATTGCTGATGATTAAAGATACCCATGTGTTACAATAGGGCTTCAGACTCACAGCCCATCTCTCTTATTCTTGATCTTTCAGTAAAATCGTAATGCTAAACTGGTGACTTCACAATCATTTCCTTGGCAAAAGATTAATATCACAAGCACAGAGGAAAAGAGGCCTACTTACACACAAGTGTCTTCAATAACAGTGGGAGAAAACGGGATGCTAGTGGCAGAGTAAATTGCTTTTCTTCTTAAACTCTTTTCTCCTTCTCATCCTGCCCCATGTGCCCAAGTGTAAAAGGCCCTGCTTTGAAACTGCTTCATCTTGTAGATCAAACACTTAAGAGCAAATGACAATAATAAAGCCCCAAACGTCCTAGAAATAGCTGGGAGAAAACCCTCTAGGACAGTTGGAAATACATCAGTGTGGAAATATGTAACTGTGTTGAATGCACTATTTGTGTTTCCTGTGCCCTCGATTGAGAACTGCAGTCAGAGTTTAAGGAATTATGTTAAATTTGATGTTCAATCACTTTTTGGGGACGGGGGGTGTCTTTTCCCTTGGTTCTCTGTAGGATCCCCAGTTGCCAACTTCTCTGCGTGGGAGGCTTAGGTGATAAAGGATTCCTCTGGGAACTTTAAGATTTCCTTTTGAACAATTATCTCATGCTTTTTTCAGAAGGAGAGCTAGAATATTCAGCTGTAGTTCGTATCTTATCTGTGCAATAAATGCGTAACCATTTTCAAACCACTTTCAAAATGCACACCAAAGATTTTACCCTGAAATAAATCATCAACAGCAGGGCTCAGAGATTTCTTCG